AGAGTGTTGGTTGAGATAGGAGAGATTTTGGAAACATGAGAAGGATGTTGTGATAACGTCGATTTCGATTAATCTAGTAAATAGACTACGAGGTGACTAAGAGATTAGATCAAGAGATAACAAATTGGAGCTTACTTTGATGTATGTGAATGACGTGAATGATATATACCAATCATCAAGTGAATCGAACTGATTGACTCGCTGACTGACTGACTGACTGACTGACTGATTGACTGATTGACCTCACGGCACTTCCTCTTCATTCAAAGCACCATCCGTGACCCGTGACCTGTGACCCAACCCAACAAAGCCAACTTTGAACTTTACCCGTTTGCACAGCCCATGGAGAAAATAAGATCATCCAAAAGGGGAAAGCAGGACGCGCCTTCAGTTCCAAGGTTATCATGCTCCCTAGGTAGGTGGATGATTAGAGTGAGCAGACCCTTTCTTCTTCTCTTGGCTTTGATGATTTAAACTTTTTCCCTTTCTCTGCTGGATTTATTTTTAATTCGAGGATCCTGGGAATTTAAAATAAAATCCATTTATGGTGTAGAATATAGAGAGGTAGAGAGAGTGTGAATAGACTGAGAATATGAATTAAAACTGGAAATTGGATATTAAAACTCCTTTCTTCCATTCGCTTGAATCACAATTGTATCCTTATTCGGCTGTACCGTGCTATGTATCTACATCTACATCTACATCTACATCTATATCTATATCTATATCTACAAAGTATACCAAGAAGCGTGGATTCATCCTCCTTTTATCTTTGCCCCCCTCTTTTCCATGATACCCTTTGAACCCTTTTTGTTTATAGTTCGCCCATCAAAAGAAACCCCCACTGAAGATCATGGATTCATGCTAAGTTCCAACTCATTACTCAAACCCTAGGCAGTTTATTGTTATTAGGTATTTGTCTGTACAAACGGGTCTTATTGTACTCTCTTTCCGGATTGTCTACAGTAATTCGTTATGATATAAAGTCTTCTCTATGTGATCGCTAACAAGTAACTCTCGTATATCGTTCTCATCATCCTTACACGAAGAAGAATGTGTATTCCGTACCAAATTGAGATGATCTATCTTCACATCCCCCTGCGTATTGTACTCTTGTTCTACTCAAGCATTCACAACTCTAGAAACTTTAGAAACTTTAGAAACAACAGAAACAACCGCGCATCAAGAAAGATTCCTCCCCACTAAACTACGAATATCAAACGTGTGTCTGACTAGGGGATCCAATACTATCCGCGGGAACTTGATCGTATTGGGTTTAGCCTGAGATTCAATCATACATACGCGGATACGCTCTCTATTATTTAAAATTCTTTTTATTATCAAGGCTAGGTAGATACAAATACCCTTATTAGTATTGGGAAACTTGGAGCTTAATCTCTTAAATTGGAATTGTTCCCTTAAAATTCTTGTGTGCTCCTATCCTACATTTGACGCTAGTACTTTAACAAAAAAAGAACTGGTACGAGTGACAAGAGCTACTTCAAAAGTCTCAAACGAACAATACTTTCCACCTTCTGCTTCCTACCTTCTACTTTTTACCTTCTATCGTCCACCTTCTCAACACCTCTCATCGTTTTTGAAATTCACATTCAATTCATTCAACTTCTTCCCAAGAATTGGCCTTTTTTGCATTGACGAGTTGCTGCTATTTTCTGCTGCTGCCTCTATTCCTGCAAGCCTATTCTTGACATTTCATTCCTTCTCTTCTTACGCTCTTTAATTCGCATCTTCCATGTACACTTTCTGGTAATACAAAATCACTTCCGTGTCGTAGAGGCAATTAAATCTCGGAGAGCTAACACCTTTCACTAGAATTTACATTGCACATAACAGTGCTTTTATTTGTCAAATCAACTCACTCGCTCACTATGTCTTCACTCATTCAACCATATCTCGACCTTGCCTTGCAGCAACTCGAAATTTACAAGGACCAATTGATCGAACAAATCCCAGTCATCTCGACGACCACATATGTCCTCACCATTTTGGCAATCTGTGTACCCCCTATTGTCCTCTTATTCTTCTACGAACTCGAACAATCGCGACAACGTGCCGAACAACCAAAAGGTTGTAGAAAACTTGGATTGAAAATCGATAGCAATCTAACCAATGAATTCGATCCCAAATTCTCCGAGGGTCGTCCCCCCAGTACTGAAGAAACATCTGCAGAATGGTGGAGATTGAAGAGTATGTGGATTTATCCAGTCAAGAGCTGTAAAGGAGTTGAATTGGGCAGAGGAACCATTGTTGCAAGTGGAATGGAATACGATCGTCAATTTACCTTTGCACAATTGAAAAGTCCATTTCCCGTCGCAGAGAACGATCCGAATTCGAAGAAAGCAGCACATCAATGGGAGTTCATCACTCAACGACAGTTCCCTTTGTTGGCGAAAGTTAGGACCGAAATGTGGGTGCCAGATCAAAGCGTGGATACATATGCTCCTCATATCGATGATGTTGAGAGTGGAGGAGTTATAATCATGAGTTTCCCATATCAAGAACCTGGATGGAGAGGAACAGTTGCAAGTTGGGGTGCCAAAGTTATGGGAACCGTACCTGAAAAACAATTCCGTGTGCCATTCGATCCTTCGCCAGTACAAATTGAAAAAGCAGGTTACACTGTTGAAAAGATGACTATTTGGAAAGAAACGGTTGATGCTTTGAATGTGGAAATTGAGATTCCAGAAGAACTCAGATATTACCTTGGTATCAGCAATAAGTTGGGTTTGTTCAGAGTCGATAGCGCAAAGCCGAGAGAAGTTTTCAGAAATGCGCCTTCAAAGGAAGAACTTGGATATCAACCAGTTACTGGATTTCAAGATGCTGTAAGTTTCAAGACTCTAAAGATCTACTGTTTGATTTCTTTACTAATTTATTCTAGTATCCTATCCACCTTATCAATCTTGCTAGTATTCGTGATGTTGAAAGTAAAATGCCAAAGGTTAAGGGGGCGCCAAGATTATCTGCAGGACAATTCCGTGCCAATTTGATCAGTATGTCATTCTTAAATTTCAAAATTTACTCGTTTCCTTGCTAACATGTTTCAGTTACCGGACCTCCAGCTTACCACGAAGATGATTGGCGACGAATTAAGATTGGGTTTTACGAATACGATGTTTCTTGTCGCACAGTAAGATGCAAAATGCCAAACGTAAATCAAGAAACTGGAATTAGACATCCATCCGAACCCGATAAAACTTTACGAACCTTCAGAGCTATTGATGAAGGAGCCGGAAAGAATTTAGGATGTTTGGGTATGCAATTAGTACCTACCACTAAAGATGGAGCACTGAGGGTTGGGGATGAAATTACGGTCTTGGAAGTTGGTGAACATCATTATCAAAAATTATTCCCGGAATTGAATAATTGATTGCTAGGCGAGCATTCTTTGTATTGTGTTGGCTGTGTATCAAGAGAGTACAGGAGTAATGGACATATAAAATATGGAATGGTAGCAAGGAGTTTGGGATTTATTGATTGGTCGGCTGGATGGATGGCTGACTGACTAACTTTACATACAAATACTTTTTTTTTCCTCTTCACTTTTTTTCTCACTCGCTCTATTTGTATGTGTGTTTGTGTTTTGTTGGTGTGTTGGTGTGTTGATTTTTGAAGATATGCTGCTTGCTTGTGTGTTTTTATATATAGATATGTATATCTTGTAAGCGGATTAGAGATTTTGATAATTTTTTTTCTTTCTTTCTTTCTGTACTTTTGAAGGAAGATAAAGATAGATGGATATGAGAGAGGTTTTATTGAAGGTGATTTGATTATTCATTTTTGTAATTGCTTTTTCTTCTTGTTGTATGTTGAATTTGAGATTTGAAGTTGAGAGGGGTGCTTTAAGGTGGATGGATGGGATAAAATAGATGCTGAGATGGGGGCGAGGAGTGAGGGAATGGAGAGGGAATGGAGAGGGAATTGAAGACAAAAGATTAAGGGAGAAAATAGAAGAAAGTGTTTACTTTATATGTGTATGTGCGTGTTTATTCTATGTATGCATGTGTATATATAAGAGTGTGTGTGTATATGAGAGAGAGAGAGGGAGAGAGAGTGTGTGTGTAGGTAGGTATATTTCAATATGAGATGTATGATATGATATGATATGATTGATTGAAATCAATGAATAAAGGTATAAAGGTATGGAGGTATGGATTGATGAATTGATGAAAGATTTTCATATACATATATTATATACATGTGATATAGAAAATTATAAATAGAGATGGAGAAAGGAAGAGAGCAAGAGTATGTATATGTATATTTATACATGTATATTAGGTATCTACAATCGAAGATTCGAGAGCGAGAAGGAGAGTTTATGTCGGATATCGGATATTGGATATTGGATATTGGATATTGGATATCTAGTATGCGGATAGGATAGGGACATAAAAGGGGGTAGATGGAGATGGAGATGGAGATGGAGATGTATATTCTAAGAATTGAGATTATGAAATAATTCTATATCTGGATTCTGAATGATGAGGGGGTGAGTTTTGAGGGGGAGGTTTGGAGGCTTGGAGGCTTAGAGGGATGTATGTGTGAATTGAAATGAATTGATCTGATTTGATTTAGATTGAGAAAAGAGGTGTGTATGTATGTATGTATATACTTGATCTGGATGGCGCAGTAGGCGGTTTGATTTGAGGTCTGAGGGTATTAGGGGATATGCTAATGTAATGTAATGTGATGAGTATAAATCATGAATAGGAAAAAATAGTGAGGAGGATTTAGAGATTGGGGTTTGGAGTTCTCGTTTATATCTGTCTGTCTATTGATTTGTTGATTCATCCACCTATATACCTTCTTCCTCCACCCTCTCTTCTTTCCCTCTCCTCTCCTCTCCTCTCCTTCCTCTCCTTCCTCTCCTTCCTCTCCTTTCTCTCCCCTCCCTTACTCCCCTCCCCATCCCCCATCTACCTTTCTCCCGCAACCTATTACCCACAACCCACAGCTTACAATCCTCACCCTCAAATCTACAACTTCGACTCTTTTCCCTTTCCCTCTTTCTTCTCCTTCGAACTAGAACCGGGGAATTCCACACCCACAATATTCACTTTACTATGTTCGCAAATGGCTAGTACTTCTCCGGTTCTGCGTTTCATGGTTCCTGGGGGTGTTAGTTTTGAGGGGTTTTTATTTGGAATTTGAATTTGAATTGGGTTCTGAGGTATTGTGTTTGATTTTGGAAAGTATGATGGGTATTTTGGGATGGGGAAGAGAGGAAGAAGGGGGTAAGCGGTTTTGAAGACTTCTTTAATTGGTTGGTGGATGGTGGAGGGGAGTGTGCTGGATTTGTTTGGATTGGATTTCTAGGCTGGGGTAGATGCATGGGGTTGTGAAATGAAGTAGATCAGGATGAATGGGTGATGGATGTGATGTGATATTAGAGATAGAGGGGATAAATCGAGAGGGGGGAGCGGAAGGAAAAGAAAGGAAAAGGTCTAAAGAAACCGAAACCGAAAGCGCTTCCATCCCCAACCTCTTCCCTCCAAAGGAAACTCCAAAAAAGAAAAACACTAACCTCTCAAAACCACGTTTCTCTTCCCCAATCCCCCCACAACTTCACACTCAACCAATACATCATTCTTTCCCTCTCCTTCAGATTCCTCATGGATGGTAATTCCCTTTAAATAAGTACATCCTAATCCTCTACTCACTCCACCACCGCCCCATTTCTGAGCGCTGTAGCGACCCATGAGTGCAACGGATGTGCAGGCATCGAAGACGGTTGCGATGCAGCCGCCGTGGACGGTGGAGTTTGCGTTGCTGTGGGTGTCAGTTAGCCGGGGTGTGGAATTGGGATGGAGGAGTGGGGGAGGGGGAGGGGCAGCGGGAGATGAGGAATCTGAGATCTGGGGTGTAGATTTAAGGCTTGATATTACGGGTACATTGTAACCCTTCGAAGCAGAATTTCTCAATGAGATGTCACAAGAAACAAACTCAACCTCTCAAAAAATAGCAAAAAACCAACACCTCCCAAAGAATCATCTCTACCCCCGTCCCTCCCTCCCTTCCTCCCTTCAAGATAAAAATAAAAACAAAACTAACCAATGATGCACCGTCGGTTTAAAAACAAACGTCGTCACATTTTCCGAATGATGTTCCGCATCTGTAGAAAGCGAGAGCGAAGGTAGGAGATCGTGACCCCATCCCTAGAGAAGGAGATGTGTTAGTCAGTTTTTCTTTGGGTTTCAGCTGTATATGTTGGGGCGAATGGAGGGGATTGAGCCGGACTGTGGTATAGAGATGATATAGGATGAGATGAGGAGATGAGCAAAGGAAGGAAAGAGTATGCAGCGAACTCGCAACTCGGAGAGATCAACTACGAAATCTCAATCTGCCCCTCCCTCTCCCTCCCTAGAAGGAAGCAAGCAAGCACCACAACAGAAACCAGCTCCAAGAACCCCAAACCACATCCCTCTCCTCTCCCTCCATCAACCACCCCTCTCTCCTCCCAACCCCCAATTTCCCAATCCCCAATTCCCAGAACAAAACAAAAATTATCAAACTAACAATATACCCCTCCCTACTATCCTTCCACCCCTTCATCAAGAACCCCAATCGTTTCAATCCCACATCATTTTTCGCATCGAATTTCATTTGCGTTTCTGGTGCCATACTTTCTTATCTCTTGTCCTTGCTTGTTTCTTTCTTTCTTTCTAATTTCCTTTTGTCCTTATTTCTTTCTAACGAGCAATCGATTAATCAATCAATCAATCAAGCAATCAATCAAGCAATCAATCAAATAAACCAATAAATCAAACTAATGAACATCTAACCCCAAGGATGAGCACGAGCAGCACAGAACTGGAAATCAGGGGTCCGCCCGTCCGCCCACCATTTCCATTTCCATTGAACCTCGGCACACATGCACATCCATACATCCATACATACACGCACACACATACGCGAAAAACCAAACATCGGAATCCGAATCCGAATCCGGGGTTTAGTGCCCGTTGGGATGTGATAGGTGGATGTGGATATGAATGCTAATGTTCTATCTATATATAGGATCGAATTGATCGGATAGGAGAACATGAAGATAAATACTAGGTAGGCATGAATATGCACATGGCCATTTCGAGATTCAATAAATTGTATGTATCAAAGCAATCTTAATGGTCGAGGGTCTTCATAATGGTGTCAGATCTTCTGCATAGATTGATATGAAAGTTACACAATTTATAGCAAAGTCAAACGTCGTCATATCACATAGAACAGCATTGAAAACAAGTGATGTGAAAGTAACAGGTTTAATTCTATTGACTCAAATATTTATGAGCCATCTCATCATCCCCTTCCAAAATGTAAAGTCTTTCTTCCTTTCACGCTTGTCTAAGATACATAATCTGAACCATTTATCGTCTTGCTCAGTTTAGAAAAAAAAGTAACCCATCCCACCATCCGTTCCTTGACTTTAATATTAAAATCACCATGTTGACCAGTATTACCAACGCCCCAGTCTAAAACGACACACTAACCCACGCTTGTAAAAAACAAAGATGCAATTTTTAATTTTACCATTCAATTGAAGGCATTCGGATCATCCACTCATTAATGAAAATGCTTATGCAGCATCGGCTGATGGAACAGGTTCCGCAATACGGGTTACCTGACTACCAGCTCGGATAATCTTTTGACCAGCGGTATCACTGACAAAAGAAATATCCTTGTTCTCACGTTGAGCACGCTTCCAGATCTCAACTTCACATCCACCACGTAGGACACCTACACGCATGGTTGAAAGAAGATTGTGGGCAGCGTTGGAATGGTTGTAGACACCACCATTGAAAATAGCAGTTGCATCTTTGCCGATACCGGATGTGATAAGTGCCTTTCCACCTGGATGTTCCTTTACGAAGTCGGTGACGTCGTGAATGACACCAGCGACAGCAACGAGAGCACGTCCATTCTTGGCTTCGGTTTGATAGGTGTCCCAATCGATGATTGGTAATTGTTCAAGAGGAATACCCCAGTCAAGAGTTTGTCTCTTTTGGTCGAGTTTCTTTTGGAGTTGTTGAAGACGGCCCTTCTCAATTTCGTTGGACTTGAATTGCTTAAGATCGTAGGCGAGGCCGAGTTGCTTCCACATCCAGATGGACCATTTGGTTGGGTCATATTGATGCCATTCGATAGCGTTACGGTAATCAGATGGGAATTCGTGATGGAAGTTGTGGTAACCTTCTCCGAGAGTAACGAGAGCAGTGATGACGTGATCACGAGGAGAGTTGCGGTCATCGAAAGGTTGGTCACCGAGCCAATGAGCCAAAGAGTTGACACAGAAAGTAGCTTGTTGAACGAAGAAGATTCTGAGGATACCAGCATAGATGAAACCACCGAACCAATCACCCCAACCAAGACCAGTGACGAGACATGGGAAGACCATACCCATGAAGATAACGGTCTTGATGTAGTTGCGATGTTGCCAAACGACGACTGGGTCATCGTTCAAATCGGAGATATCGGTACGGCCAATACGCTTTGGGTTTTGTTTCATGATCATCCATCCGAAGTGAGAGTATAGGAGACCTTTTCGTACGGAGTATGGATCCTTATCGGTATCGGTGTATCTGTGATGAGCTCTGTGATCTCTTGACCACCATCTGATGGAACCTTCGACGGCTCCACCTCCAACGGCTGCGAGGAAAATCTTTAATGGGAGTGTGGCAGAGTATGAGGAATGTGCCCAAAGTCTGTGGTAACCTGAGAAAATATGTTAGATGTAATCCATTACGGAAAGAAATCAATTAGAACCTACCAGCTGTAATGCCCAAACCAGTCATGAAGTAGTAAAGAACAGCCCAGACAGCCGTCTTCCACTGCAAAGGAGTCCAGTAGGCCATGATGAGACCATAGATGGGAACTCCAACAATGAGAGTGATGTTAAGCCAGTTAACGTGTTTATACCAATTTGCCTTGGTGATTGGCTCCTCGGTGATATGAGGCTTCTTTGGGTCATACTTCTTGTTGCGATTTGGCTCAGAAGTCTTCGCCATGCTCGAAGGTTGTGACGCGTTCGAAGCCATATTGAAAGAATGTCGATGGTATGGGGGAAGAGAGCGTGAGGGAAGGAAAAAAGAAAAGTATTGACGGAGGAGTGGTTGAACTTATAAGTAGATTTGATGGTGTTTGGAAATGTACTAAATTGTACTTTCCGAACAAGGATATGTAGGGATGGAGAATTGAATGGGTAAAGAAGTTCAAGGGACTGGATGAATCGGTAACTCGGTTGGGTGATCAAACGTAAGGTAAAAATGGAGACTTTTCTATGGTCGATTTTAATTTTTTTTGATGGGAAAACCTAGAAATTACTAGTAAAAGCAAGCGTGGAGCTATTTTCTTGAATTTTTTTAATTCTCTTAATTCTCTTAATTGATCTTTTAATTATTAAGCTTGTCAATCTATGTAAAAAGTTGAAATTTCGCCACTTTGAAGGCAAAAGAAAGATTAGACCAGGGTGAAAGGGCGAAGGGTTGCAGATGGTATCTAGGGTATTGCAATCTTCGGTTTATCTTCCCCTTGCTAACAAAGCATCGACGTTCATATGGTCAAATGGTGGATCTGTAATCAGAACTTCAAGACAATCCTTCGTTCGCAGTTGTATTTTGGGAATGATTTATGCTCGGATTTACCGTGAAAATTGAAGTGAACTGAAGTTGGGAACATTTCCTCTTTCTTCTTCTGCCCTCGGTGATTTCCTATATCTTTCTTACTTACATGTGGTCATCGATCGTAGACAGGTTAGCAGGCTGTGAGTGATATCCCAAAATCCTCAACGTCCCAACAGATTTCAGAACTGCGATGGGTCGATTGGTTCATTAAGCGAGCTTAGATACATTCACAGGAATCTCCTAGTGATTTCTATCATCCATTCCAACAATATCCATTGCTCATCGGATCAATCAGGAAGTTATTACCTAGAGAGTTGTATAATACCTGTTTTTGATATCATAAGTGATGAACTTTATCCAGGTATACTGTATAGTTTTATCATTAGGGAAATTCTAAATTCTAAAATGTCTCAACCACGCAATCAATATCGCATCAATTCAATTCAATTCCATTCCATTCAGTCCAAGCACAAGCACAAGCAAGCACAAGCACAAGTACACACAAGCCACATATGAGACCTTCTTTTGGACCCTTACTCTTTAAATAACTTTGGGATGCCACTAATCAATCCCTTGACAACCTACCATCTTACAGCCTTAGACATGTTGGACTCGGACCTGCATTATCGTTACATAGATATACCGGTACCATGATTGCATTTTCACTTGGAGCTGGAAGTAATATCTTCAATATTGCTAAATCCCTAATTTTAATTCTTAATCCTTAATCCTCAATTGGGATATTTGCCCATAAAAATTAGATACATAACCCCGTTCCCGTTCGATTCCTATTTAGTCCCTTTCTTATCCATTCCAGTCTCTTCATCGCCAATTCATGAAACATCAACGAGCAATCTTGGCCAAATCACCATGTTCCATTGGTCGGAAATTCAAGTATTATTCTTACCCAATTAAAATCAAAGAATTGAAGATTGACCTGACACTTCACTCTCGATTCCCCAACATGGAACAACCCCCAGACCACATCCGGTTTTCACCCTTTCCCTAGTGGTGGACCAAAAATCAAATCACTTTTTTGTTGAGAAGCGGGCGGAACAGGAATTCACTACCACCGATAAGATTGTCGAGGAAAAAATATACGAATCCTTCTTTTCTCCACAAATTTCATGCATCGAGAATAATCCATGCATCCACCTCCACATTCATATCCATTACCGAGGCTGGGAATCTCGTGAGTTTTTGCCACCGAAGCGGTTGTTGGTTGGTCCATCTATCCCTTCTTTGAGTAACAGTTGGTTGGTCAATGGCGTGTTCACGGAATTTATGGATATCCTGTCTCAGTCCGGTACCACAGTGGACACATGATCAACCCACTTTGAATGGCGTGTTTGGTAAGATCGTAAGGATCAATGAGGGCAAATGCTTTGTTGGGCATTGAGTATGCGAACACGAGAGGAGGAGAGGCGGGGTCTTCATTCAATGCAGTGTAGTGCTGTGCAGATGATGATGACTTTTAGAATGGCGTATGAAAATCTCACGACAGTATGTCTGATTTTGAATGAAATTCTACAATGTTCTTTAGTTACCGGAAAGCTAGATGGCTGGTTGCCAGAGATCTGGAAATATATCATTCTCCTTCAAGCATAGCAGGTACTTCACTCCTTCATCATACTTTTAGTAAAGTCATGGTGATCAAGATTGTAGAAGCTCGATCTTCAACGAGATTCTTAAGTCAGTCATATAAATGGCATCAATAGAGCAATTCAATCATTCCATTTGCATCCTACACTACACGAAGGCAAGCATCTTTTAATCTCAATTTACATTTACTTACATTTTATATCTCCACATTCCAATCGAACGATTGTCCGGGTTCCAGACCCCCTAAGATATTGCACTTGATGACTCCCCTTCCCCACCCCCAAAACGAAATACTCTTATAAGTGGCAAAACAACTAAGTCCTATGAGCTTAGGGTGACATACAATGAATTCTCTACGAGAATTACATGGCAAACCCTTAAACCCTGTTCTAAAGCAACTCTGTACAGTAAGTAGTCTGCCACCACGGCAGTGGCCCCCGGAGGGTCAGCGAAGCGTCTTCTATTATGGGGGCAAGCCCCCATACCCCCATAACTCGCTACGCTCGAAAATAGAGTTGTTGTTGACGTATAGTTTAACACTTCATGTTCGAGTTGATTGTTGAAAATTTGTCGTTTGGAACATGAAAGTTCATGAAAAGTCTAGACGGGATTTGTTCGCCAAAAGGACCTTCTCTCTAATGTCCCTGGTGTTATCATTGTCAGCATTAGGCTTTTTAATTCCATTCTTGCATGACCAACACACAGTACGAGAAAATCGTTGATTGTTGAGACAGCCAGAAGATGTCAATGGTTTGAGGAGCCACTGTCCCCCTAATAATTCCGGCCGTGGCAATTCAGAAATGGCTCTCCCTACAATAAATGCGATAGAGCTCGGGGCAGCTCCTCATATGACAGGACATACTTCTGATGAAAAAAAAAACACTCGAGGGGACGACGGCTTTTGCGGCTCAGAAGGTGTAGTATCTTTCCGAATTATATTTGAAATGAACCCCAGATTAATAAGTATGCGCTTCCACGCCAGCCGATGCCTGGAAAAGAACTACATTCCCCTATCATCCCTGGCACAGCCTCTGAGTACGTCGGCTCGTATGTTCAGCTACTAGAAAGATACTTATTGAGTGACAAACTAGCACAGGAATTTTCTGGTTGGAAGACTGCTCTTGATGGGTTTCTTTGAGTTGAATCGGGGTGGCATTGCATCTGATTACCACATACTCGGAGCTCTCGTGGAGCTGCGCTGTGCTTTTTTACTGTGCAAATTTTTTGTCAGGAATTGGGCCAGAAATTTCCGAAGGATGTTACGGTTGTGTGATGGCCTGGGATAGCTATAATTTGGGATGGGTCCAAAGCTAATACAAGGCGGGGAAAGTGGAAGGCCTGTAATTGTATAATGAAAGGGGCTCGAGGCAGCGCATGGTTCATGGGGTCGGATTGTAGTGCTAAACAAAAGTATAATGGCGATGTAGATACTTTGGGCAAGGTAAAGCTAATCTCTCAGGAACTCATGCTGATGATTGAATAAACTTGATGTTTTAGTAAGTATAGGCTGTTTTCTTTCTAACAGAGATGAAGGCTCGCAGGTACTACATGATATAGTATTAACATCTAGTAATTATATTTACATACCAAACAATGGTCATGACTATATATTTAGAAGTGTATCTACTTCTCTGAATCAATAATCGTATTGATTCCTATGGAACGAACCAATATTTAATAGCCCAACATGCTACATGAGAAAATATGAATTTAGATCAATTCCCAAACACTAGAGCGAAGCGAAAAGTCCTCCACGGCAGTGGCCCAGCGGTGCGTCATTCGATTTCGAAGAAGATAATCCATTGCTTTAGTATGACTGAAAGCGAGATGAGCTTACCTCATTCTTTGGTGCTAATTATATGATAAAGATTGATTTTGAATTTGTTAGGTTAAGTCCGCTAGAAAGATTTATAAGAGCATGATTGGTTAAACGTGCATGATGAGTCAGCAGACTATCCTTCATCCAACCTCGAGCTTCAATTTCACACGCCAGATGATGTAAATTATAGCAACATTCTTTAGCTTTTTAAGTAATCATTCAGCATGTCAAGACATAGATATGGGCGCTTGTAATATCATCACTGCCACTGTCTGATTGAGGCTCTTTCCTTCTTGGCTGCTGCCTATGCCTCATCTATCAATACCGAATCTTCAAAATTGAACATAGACTTCTCTCTAGATAATATCATAATTGTGTGATACTACACGAACTGTCTGAGCGTCATGTCAAAAGTGTCACCTATTCAACCGGATGAGGGAACCTCAGACATGTCACCTGCGACGTCGACTATCACCTCACCTTCAAAACCACAACGTGTACTCGCTTGTCTGCGTTGTCAACAGAGGAAGATAAAGTGTGATCGCAGATACCCTTGTTCTACCTGCGTCAAGTCACGAGTAAAATGTATACCAGCAACACAACTTCCTCGTCAGCGACGACGCAGATTTCCTGAACGAGAACTACTAGATCGCCTTCGCAAGTACGAAGATCTTCTACGTCAAAATAATATCAAGTTTGAGCCACTCCACAAAGAATCTCCTCATACAGAAAGTCACAATGATTCCGATGATGAACAGCCAAAAGCGACTACAAACATATCATCTCCATCAACTACCAATTCTGAAAAAGCACACGGAGCTATGTATGTAACTTCCAAGAAGCTATTTGGCCCCTACTAATAGTATTAGGAATCTGTGGCACGCTATGAGTCAAGAAGTATGATGTCAAGTCATTTCTTATGATTTCCTCTCCATTCGCTGACTGTGGCTTAGTTTCGAGAACCTGATAATATCAGTGATTCTGATGATGACGATGTGCGTGAAGCCGATGTGAAAAAAGTATGGGATCAAATATCTGACAACGATAATCTTTTGTTTGGATCGCGTGTATCAAACGTCGATATCTCTACTTTTCATCCCGAGCCAGTTCAAATATTCAGACTTTGGCAAATTTACCTGGAAAATGTTGATCCATTACTCAAGGTTACGCACACTCCCAGTCTCCAGGCACAGATTATAGAAGCTGCTGGTAATCTCCGGAATATTAAACCTCAGCTAGAAGCGTTAATGTTTGGCATTTATTGCGTGGCAATTTCGAGTCTCTCCTACGAAGATTGCCAGCTTATGTTTTACGCATCAAAACCAGACCTCTTGACGAGATATCAGTTCGGGTGTCAGCAGGGTCTATTAAATAGCGGGTTTCTACGGAACAGAGATGATCGAGACACGTTGACTGCTTTATTTTTCTACCTGGTAAGTGTAGTGGGCCATAATGTATCTATTTTCTAACCGCTTCAGATGTCTTTCAGAACCAAATCAGTCCCTCAATCTCTGTCTTCCTTACTGGCAATTGCTGTTCGAATAGCGCAACGTATGGATTGCCATAACGAATTCGCTTTATCTAAACTTAATCCTCTAGAGGCTGAGATGCGCCGAAGACTTTGGTGGTCACTTGTACTTTACGATACTCGGATCGGCGAAATCTCTGATTCCAAGCACGTCATCTTGACTCCAACTTGGAGTTGCAAAGTCCCCCTTAATGCGAGTGATTCGGATTTTCATATAAAGATGAAGGATCCTCCGCAAAGTCAGCAGAAACCAACCGAGGCAATTTTTGCCGTTTTACGCGGCGAAATGGGAAATTTTATTCGAAATACCACATTTCATCTTGATTTTAATAATCCGGCTCTAAAATCTGCTGCCAAGCATCCTCAGCACAATCCTACTACAGAAGGCAGCGAACTCATTGATCTAGAAAAAATGGTTGAGGAAAAATACCTCAGATTCTGTGATCCGAAAAACCCACTCCATTTTACCACAATCTGGACTACACGAATGAGTCTTGCCAAATGGCATTTAGTGGAACATTGGCACTTTTCTGGCAAAAATCACTCTTCAAAAGTGGGTTTGGTACGCGATGCTACTATCGCCCATGCCCTCAATATGCTCGAATGCGATACGAAACTCATGACATCTCCTCTCGCGAAAGGCTTTACGTGGATGTCCAACATGCATTTCCCCTTCCCCGCATACTTCCAAATCGTACAGAATTTCAAACGCAGACCGCTGAGTCAACAAGCAGAACGCGCTTGGGAAGCAATGACGGCGAATTATGAAGCGAGATTTAATTCTACTCTCTATGATGAGATACCCGGGCCTTTTTTCATGATTTTTGCGAAAATCATTCTGCAGGCTTGGGAGGTGAGGGAGCTAGCTTTTAGGAGTATGGGAGAGGAGATTGCGGAACCGGGGATTGTGGGGAGTTTGAGGCAGAGAATAGCGGAATTGGCGGGGATGGGAGAGGAAGGGGCGGGGAAGAGGGGTGGGGAGGCGTATGGGGGTGGGGATGATTCTTCGAGGGTGCCGTCCATGGCTTTTTATGGGCTAGGTGAGCATTTGGGATATACTGCATCGGGAATGGCATCATCTGGAGCGGGACCATATATAGATACCCTCGGAATGGGGTTGATTGATGCGGACATCAGTACGTTGGATTGGTCGGTAATGGATTGGGGGCGGTGGATATGAATATTCCGACTGGGGAGACGAATGGACTTCAATTTTAGGAAACAGGCCGGGAGATCTGTCTATATTGTATTTATAAATTTAAGAGCTGCAGGTAGAGTGATTGCTGGTCTCCCCTCTCCTTCATTAGATGAGTTAGATGTATGTATACTAGACGTACTCCACACAATCGAATCTCAATCTCAATCTCAACCTCAACCACAATATGAATATATATGAGCATGAGCATGAGCATGAGCATGAAAAATCAGATTCCAAATAATACATACATACATACATCAATAATCCATATCAGAAAACCAAATGTTGACCAGGTCAGCGGCTCGTGGATCTCACATCCCATGTGTGAGGGGTTTCTGTAGCAGAAGGAATGGTTTGTATCGAATGATGCTCATTACTTGCTGTGTATTGTATTGTATTGTATGTAATATATATACGTATATACAAGGAGACCAGGTATTTTTCTGGGGTTGGGAGAATGGGGAGTGGCATGGATAGTAATATTGTAACTTGTACCGACTTGTTGGATGTGGGATTTGGCATTTGGGGAGGAGTGTGAGTGTAAGCACTATATGAGTGCTTACTTTGTATCTGTATTTTGTATTTTGTAGAGATGAGTAGGTAGGTGTAAATACTTAAGTAGAGTATCAAGTGTGAAGTGGGAAGTATCTTTTGAAATTTGTAGAAAGGGAGAGAGAGAAAAAATATTTATATATAAATTTATTTTACTTTACTTTCCTATTATGTATTACATCACATATCTATCTCTCAATTGCAAGACGAAGATACACAACATTTGAATTTTGCAAAAGAAGAAGAAGAAATATTCCAGCACACTCACTCGCCATGTCAGCAACACCCATCCCAAGCGGTATTCCCGCTTCCCGTTTCGCTTCTCTGCCAAATAACACGGAGACGAAAAATAATGCGGAGATGGATATGTATGATTTTATGATTGTTGGCGGTGGAACTTCTGGACGTGGTATGTATATATACATGTATATTTTCCGTTCTACAATCAATCAAGATCAAGGCACCATCTCAAATCCCCCATCCCTCCAAAACCCCCTTCCCACCTTTCTTCTCCTTCATCCCAATTCCGTTCAATCTCTTCAATCTTCGTGCACTTCCCAAAGAACCATCTATTAACTCTCTTCTATCCTCCCCCAAAAGTCGTAGCAACTCGTCTCACCCAAGACGCATCTATCCGTGTCCTCGTTCTAGAAGCAGGAAAACGATCATTTTCCATCCTCGACAATCGCCAACTCCCGCTTCAGCATCAACACCTGGGGATCTCTCGGAAATCCCTCCTGGTCATGGGACTCCCTACTCCTCTACTGTCAAAAATCCTTCACCCTTACACTCCCACCCCCAGAAAGCATAGAAGACCTCTCCCTCTCCTACATCGACACCGATCTCCAGAGAACATTTTCCGGACCCCTGCAAGCCTCCTTCGCGGAAGAAAAAGACGGGCTCCCAAAATTCTGGATAGACAGATGGAAACAGATGGGCTGGGGCCTTTCCAGCGATCCCTTTTCCGGAGAAGCAGTAGGCGGATACATCAACGCGATGAATATCGACGCGGCGACAAGAAAACGAAATCATGCGCTATCCGCCTACTATACACCTATGGCGACGCGTGAGAATTTGGTCGTGGTAACTTCTGCGCTGGTGACTAAAATCCTGTTTTCAGATTCGAGACATGAGAAGGGTGATGTAGTCGCTACGGGTATTTCGTACACCAATGACTCGCAAAGCTATACCGTGAGTGCGAGAAAAGAAGTTATCCTCGCAGCGGGTGTGTTGCCAATTCCCAAATTGCTTGAATTATCTGGAATTGGTTCTGCGGCTCTGCTTTCGGATCTGGGTGTTCCGGTGGTTGTCGATAATGGAGATGTGGGCGAGAATCTCTAGGATCATCTCAATTGTGGGGTTTCGTTTGAAGTGGATGAGGGTGTAAAAACAATGGATGCATTGGCACGACAGGATAGTGCTGCGATTGGGGAGGTAATGGGAGCGTATATGACAGAGAAGAGCGGACCATTTGCAGCCGGAGGAAATTTTGCGGGGGTTCCTACCAATCGTGGATTTTTCTGGGGAGAGCGGAGGTGATTTAGAATGGCTATTGAAGAGATACAGGACGGGAGATGAGGACAAGACATCTTTTTCAAAATCCCATACAGAATTCGTACATTCTCTTCTCCGAACCCCAACCGAAGGCTCCGGAGGATCTTTCTCCTACGCCGCGCTTAGGAATTTCATCCCCGAGGCCAGCTCTGGCTATATCATCGGCAAGCAAAACTCAAGCGCAAGTTCGGATACTAAGGACGGTGCTAATTCGCCTGGAAACTATCTCACTATCGCTTGTATGTTACTGCATCCGCTCTCCCGTGGGAACACCCATATCACCAGCTCCAATCCCGGGGTTCCTCCTTAAATCGATCCCAAGTACCTTTCTCATCCCCTCGATCTCGAAATTCTCTCTCGCCACGTCCGCTATATTTCCAAGATTGTTCCTCCCCTCCTCTTTCCACACTTCACAAACCTTCCGGAAGGAGGAATCGTGGTGCGCCTTCTGATATTACGGATCTCGATGCTGTCAAGGAATATGTGAAGAAAGCAGCACTGAGTGCATGGCATCCAACAAGCACATGTGCGATGTTACCTTTCGAAAAAGGAGGGGTTGTGAGTGAAAAGTTGATTTGATTCGGGAGGATTATAGGATTAAGGTCTGAGCTTTGAAGTGTGTCTAGAGATGGTGTTGAGTAGGTCACAGTTGAAAAATGGAAATATCTTATTCTTTTTGATCATTCTGTATATTTTGCATACTTGAGAAGCGATTCTCTGAATATAGCCGATCTTTAAACGCAAGCGATTAATGATGCACCAAGGTACTCTACAACTGTTCTATGAGCGAAGGAGATTCGAGTGTTCTGGAAGGTAATTTCAGAAGGCTCTTTCATCGTCCTTGTGAGGGACCTTCCAAATCGCTGTACCGTAAAAATCAATTCAGAGCTCAAAAATTCGTAAGCTTTATACAAGTAAAACCATACTGTCAAAAATATAGTCCTCTTCGAAATCTTAAGCATCTGAACCTAGAGATCCTTTGGTCCACAGATTTGGATAGTAATGTTGAAGAATATCATTAGAATCTGACCCTAATAAGAGATAACTTAAATATGGAATTGAAGAGTTCCGAAGTTGAAATTTGACATTGTTTCGTCCATTGATTCCGTACACTAGTAGGCGGAATTCCCAGGACATTCCAGATATATTGCGGCTTTGTTTGTTCGTAATTTTTGGTACATCGGTACTATAAGCGGAATATAAAGTCAAGCAATCTTCCACAAGTAAGACTTCCATATGCATTAATGTCATTCATTCATGTCAATTAAGATGTCTAAAATTGACTAGTCCATGCTAGATTGAATCCAGATTTTTCTCGTTATTCGGAATCTTAATTCGCAGGTAAGCGTTCAACAACAGCTGCCATCTCCTCATCAGTGTAAATTCGGAAACCCTTCTCCTTGGTAACACTAGCCAATTGCACATTCTTCGAATCTAATTTCTCCTCCATGACCTGCTTCAACGTCTTCAACACCAAAGTTTCTGCCTCTTCAATTGTGAGTGACTAAAGTTTAGGTTAGCGAAAACTCATCTATAGATGATCATGTATTTTGTTGTACCTTGTGAAACTCGTTTTGTAATTCGGCTTGAGCTCCCTCTGAACCTGAACCAATAGCCTTTGCATCATATCTATAGAAGGTTCCACTTGGCTCAGCGTGGTATAATTGTGGTCCATCCTCATCGTATCCAGCAATCAGAAGAGCAACACCAAATGGTCTACTCATGATACTCTCTTCTCCATCCGCACCCTCACCAAATCTCAATGCCAAATCACAGATGGCTTGAGTACAGCTCTCGACTCTTAGAGGCTCGTTATAGTGGAAACTATGGTTTTGAGATTCGACTCGGGCGTGTTCTACCATTGATCGTGCATCTGCTTGAAGTCCTGACATGGCACATCCAATGTGACGATCGATTTCGACAATCTTCTCAACGGAAGATGTTTCGAGTAAAGTAGAGGTTACGCGCTTTTCGACACCAAGAACCACTCCGCCACCGGTTGCAACTCCTATTGCTGTTGATCCTAACTTGATGGCCTCTAGAGAGTATTCTACTTGGAACAAACGACCTTCCGGGGAAAAGGTGCTGGGCTTATATTAATATTGAACTGAAATGCGGGATGCTTGTTGTAACTGAGACTTTGACATACTTGATACCCCGATCTGCGAATTTGTTAGTTGATACAACGAAGGCATAGGCGCCGCAGAAAGCCTTCAAGTAACTCACCATATTCAGATCTTGCAATAAACATCTTGAGAAACAGCGGCTGGTAAAAGTAAGAGAAGGTATGTGCTTGTTGGCGAAGAGATGAGGTTTCGATAGAATGCGCTGATTGAATGAAAATAAGTAACTTGAGGGTATTCGCGGAGAGATAATTTCAGGACGTTGACGTTATGAACGAACAGCTTGTTGCAGAGGTTGGTAGCTATCAGATTTAGGAGCTACTTTAGGCAAGCACAGGCATGCGAAGCTATCAAATGGCCCGTTCCTGAGGTTTTGGTAGCAAAATTACTAGGGTAAAATAGGCTTAGCGTAATCTACACGTCTCTCAAGGAAGTTTATTGTATCCAAACGCGTGAAGGGAGGGGAAGATAGGACCTATAGAAAATAAATTAATAGTCACGGCAATGGAGATATACGGCTTACTGTCGCATACAATTAGTTACCCTTCTCAATCTAAGATCTTCTCGACTTCTTCGTGCTCATAATTTACAACCCCAGATGTGATAATTATGTCTTCGCAAGCTAGAGTTTCTTCACAATCTGAGCGAAGGTCGAATGATAATCCTAGATCTCGCCCGCCGTCCGCACTGGCTGGCACAAGGAATGAGAGACCAGATGCACGTCGACGTCCCTCACCACCACCAGGAGCTACGGAATCAAATCATCGAAGAGCTCAATCGAGCTCACAACGGAGTAATAGAGGGGTAGAGGAGAGGAGGACTGAACGGGTACATATCTCAAGTAGAGAGACAGTGACGTCTAGAACAAGAAGTCCTGATCGTCGCGCACCTACGGAACGTCCTAGAACCAATGATACATCTAGATCGCGCGGGGAAGAGATTCCGCTAAAAGCATCAAAAGCCGAAACTCAACCTGGTAAGATACCTTCTGAGGGGGAATTATGCAGTTATTCTAAATATTACGATTTTAGTATTGCCATGGGATCCCCAAGTATCCTTAGTGCCGCATACAACTGCGCCATTGGCGTCCAGAATCTCCATTCCACCACTTGCTTCTCAAGCTCCCCAAGCCTTACAGCCTCAGCCCCTTCACGAGTTATCTCTGGAAGTACAAGAGGCAGTTATATTGGAGGACCTTCTATTTGTCTTCATGGGATATGAAGGGCAATATATTAGATTTGGGAAGGGCTATGATCCCCTCATTGAGAAGGATCGTCTTGCGGGTCCCAGCTATAGGATTTTACCTGGCTTGGACCCTAGTTTACAGGACCTAACCACGACTATGCTCAAGATGGCTACGAATTACGGAGCAACTGAAGCTTTTGTTGAAGTACAAAGTCGGGAAGAGTTTGGAGCTGTCAATCATGCATTATGTGCTGCCATGAGGAAACTTCTACAAGATTACCTCATCTTGATCGCTCAGCTCGAGACGCAATTTCTTACTAATCCATCATTTACTTTACACGTTCTAAACCTCCATACTCTTCCTACGAGCCACATGATGCTTCAGTTGTCTTCGCTTGCCCATGAAATATTGAAGAAAAATTCCATGCTTGAGGAAGATGAGGAGGATGGGGATGGAATGGATGATTTCGAAAATATCTTAGAAAGTCTCCGTGAGGGTGGAGACCTTGGGCTTGGGAATATTCCAGGTAAAAAGATTTGCAAAGGTGGAAGCGTATTGGGTCTCATAACAAAGCGACTGGAGACAATGTCTGGCGATCCGGCCGCTCGATCTCTCCTGACTTCACTGTTGAGAGATGCTAGTCGACCGTATATGGTGATGCTCAACGAGTGGTTGCATCACGGAAGCATCAAAGACCCCCATGCGGAGTTTCTAGTGAGGGAACAGAAGAGTATAAAGAGGGAGAGGTTGGAGGAAGATTACACCGACGAATACTGGGAGAGGCGATACACGATTAGGGATACTGATGTACCTCCTCAATTGGAAGGTGTGAAAGATAAAGTCCTTTTGGCTGGTAAATATTTGAATGTCGTCCGTGAATGTGGGGGTGTCGATGTGAGCAAAGAGGTAAAAGACGTTCCTCGATCATTTGATGACAATCGATTTCTGGAAAATGTCAATAGTGCCTACGCGCATGCCAATGAGTCTTTACTTAATTTGTTATTGACTGCTCATTCATTACCTGCACGTTTAAGGTCTTTGAAGCACTATTTCTTTTTGGATCGCTCGGACTTCTTCTCTTATTTCCTTGAGCTCGGTAATTCTGAGTTGCGAAAACCTCTTAAAGCTGTTAATACTAGTAAGCTTCAGTCATTACTTGATCTTGTTCTTCGACAACCTGGAAGTGTCGCTGCCCAGGATCCTTTCAAGGAAGACATCAAAGTTGAGATGAATGATATCAGCTTAACAAATATGTTGACCAGAGTAGTCAATATATCGGGTATTGAACAGGGAGAATCACTACAAACTCCTGCTCAACCAGTCACCGAGAACGATAAGGCTGCTGTAGGGTTTACTTCTCTTCAACTCGATTATTCTGTCCCATTTCCAGTATCTCTTGTCATCAGTAGGAAGACAGTCTGGAGATATCAAGCACTCTTTCGATATTTGTTGTCTTTGCGTTATCTCGAGCAACAGCTTGTTACCTGTTGGCAAACCCACAACCGAGCCGCTACCTGGTCTCACAAAAGCTCAAATCGAAACCTTGAATTGTGGAAGCGAAGAGTGTTTACGTTGCGAGCTCGAATGCTGGTATTTGTGCAGCAACTTCTCTACTTTTGTACATCTGAAGTTATTGAACCAAACTGGCAGGGTTTGATGGCTAGACTCAATGCAAAAGAAGATGATAAATTAGGGAAAACACCGGCCGTCAGAACAGTCGATGAACTCATGCAAGATCATGTCGACTTCCTTGATACTTGTATGAAGGAGTGCATGCTTACGAATAGCAGACTTTTGAGGGTATGTTTATCTATAATTGTTGCTTCGTTAAGCTCTACTAATACTTTACAGATTCACTCTAAATTAATGTCAACCTGCACTATGTTCGCAACGTTTACTTCATGGCTCTCAAGAGAATTGGAGAAGATCGATACGGATTTACTGGGGACAGAAAGGCCTAGTACCATGAACTCACAGCAATGGGCCCGCTACCAGCGTGATCGAGGTGCTAGAAATGGAGAAGCTAACAATGGGAACCCATCTTCCGACGGAGGTTTTGATGAAGCTCGACTCGAAAAGATGTATGAGATCATCAGAAAGTACGAGTTCAACTTTAGCAAGCATTTGCAAATTTTGTTAGATGCTCTTAACCATTATGCTGCCACGGAAACTGTGGTGTTACTGGGATTGTGTGCAAGATTGAGTACTGCCAATCAAGGCACTCAATTTAATGGCTTGCGGACCGATGAAGATGGTGCGGGACAACAATAGTGTTTTCGTTTAGTTGGCATTCTTGTCGGTCTAGAATTGGGCATGGCATGTTGTGATGATATCCAGGGATGAAAATATGGAGTGCTGGCGTCGGTTAATACTTTCATGTTTATTGGCGGTGTTGTTGAGATACTGGAAGCGAATCTTTTGTGACGATTTGCATGTAGAGATAAGCAAGGGATAGTTCAAGCTACGTAGTCGAACACAATAACAACAACATTAGATCAATGTTCAGTTCAACATTGAAGGGGAATGCCTTCTTTGAATTGTGATTTCACGGAGTCCATATATACCACACTGGGGTATAGACATTCGTCTCCATACAGTCGGATTATTATGGTTAAATGTGACGTTATGCCGTGCCGTAGGAGGGGCACTTTCCTCGGCGCCCGAAAGTTTTTGTGACAAATTGTGTAGGGAATACTGACCTCCGCGAAATTAAATGGTGGTACTGTACAAACAAACATACTTCAAACAGTGAGACAAAGCTTTCAAGGTCCGAAAAATAGTTAAAAAGGTACTTAGGTAATGGGTATTGATAAGATATATCTGCTTCTCTTATCATTCTGCTTGCGTGCTCGCAGCTTCATTGCAATTGCCTCCAGAATTGAGAATTCATTGTTCTATTGTTCATTGCACCATTGGAAGGAACTACGAAATGTGGAGTTGATACACAATCATTGGACCAAATTTTGTCTCGATTGACATCTATATAATTTTCTGGAGCCTTTTCTACCACCTCCCTCTCTTATTAGCTTTGTACATCCATCAGTACTTCACCACCAATTTGTCTGCAGCAAACCTCCGTAGTACAATCATCAATACAAAACAATCCAAGTACATGCTGCGAGACGTAGCAGATCGTTGGGCTCGTAAAAGGTATTTTGGCTAGTATCCATCTAATCCTCTTCATTCTTTATTATCATCTCGAGGATCTAGTCTAGCCTACTTGAAAAGAATATATCTTCACAAAAGGCAACTAAAAGGTACCATACTTCACTACCGGCCCTTGCATTCAATCTGCCAATCTATGTTGGGTTATTCAGGGCTTTAATTCTGCTATTGGTGAAGGCGTTGCGGGGTTTATACAAACTTGACAACCTCACGGTTTGTCGTCGCCTTCGCCGCCTTCACCGCCCAGATATCTCAGAAGCTTCAATGAATTATTGCTAACATCATTTGTTTTCAGTTTCTATATCAATTCGACAGCAACGCCATTTGCAGATCCTTAACTTTCAAGATGCACATCAAAGACATGCTCTCGGAGGCCGAAAGGTCGGGCAACCCCTCTTTCTCTTTCGAATTTTTCCCACCAAAAACTGCTCAAGGTGTACAAAATCTTTACGATCGTATGGACCGCATGCATGGGTTAGGACCTAGTTTCATTGATATTACCTGGGGTGCAGGTGGCCGTCTCGCTCAGTTGACCTGTGAGATGGTAGGAGTGGCTCAATCGCAATATGGATTAGAAACTTGCATGCATTTAACTTGTACCGACATGGGAAAAGAGAAGGTCGATGAAGCTCTCAGAAATGCCTACAAAGCTGGGTGCACGAACATTCTTGCTCTCAGAGGAGATCCGCCAAGAGAAAAGGAGAAGTGGGAGGCAACTGAAGGAGGATTCCAATATGCGAAAGATCTTGTTCACCATATTCGTCAAACATATGGCAATCATTTTGACATTGGAGTTGCTGGATATCCTGAGGGTTGCGATGACCAGGATGATGAAGATCTGTTATTGGATCATTTGAAGGAGAAAGTTGATGCGGGTGCCACTTTTATTGTCACACAAATGTTCTATGATGTCGACAATTTCATCGATTGGTTGGGAAAAGTCAAAGCAAGAGGTGTCAACGTTCCTGTCATCCCAGGAATTATGCCCATTAACACATACGCAAGTTTCCTTCGAAGATGTAACCATATGGGTTGCAAGATCCCACCAAAGTGGAGTGCAGCTCTCGAAGAGGTCAAGAATGATGATGCCGCTGTGCGAAACATAGGAAAAGATCTAGTTGCTGAGATGTGTCGTCGAATTCTTGAAGCTGGAGTACATCATCTACATTTCTACACCATGAATTTAGCTCAGGCAACTCGTATGGTGCTCGACGAACTTCGTTTGACTCCATCAAACCAACGTCCATTGAAGCATGCACTTCCATGGAGACAATCTCTTGGCCTTGGTCGTAGAGAGGAAGACGTCCGTCCAATTTTCTGGAAAAACCGAAACAAGTCTTATGTAGCTAGAACCCAGGACTGGGATGAATTCCCCAACGGTAGATGGGGAGACTCGAGATCTCCTGCTTTCGGTGAATTGGATGCTTATGGAATCGGGTTGAAGGGCAGCAATGAACAGAACATTAAGCTCTGGGGTCAACCTAAGTCTATTAAAGACATCGCGGAACTCTTCGTCAGTTACCTTGAAAACAGCATAGAAAGTCTTCCTTGGAGTGAAGCTCCAATCTCAAGCGAAGCAGATACCATTAAGTCTGATTTGATTGAGCTCAATCGACGTGGATTTCTTACCATAAACTCTCAGCCTGCTGTTGATGGTGTCAAGTCATCTGATCCTGTTTATGGTTGGGGACCTACCAATGGTTATGTCTACCAGAAAGCTTATTTGGAACTTTTGGTCGCTCCTGATATGATGCCAGAGTTAGTGCGTCGTATTCAGCACGAACCCGATCTGACTTACTATGCTGTCAAGAAGACCGGAGATGTGCAAACAAACGCACAAAGTGATGGACCAAATGCTGTCACTTGGGGAGTATTCCCTGGTAAGGAGATTGTTCAACCTACTATTGTCGAGACTATTAGTTTCTTGGCATGGAAAGATGAGGCATTCCGTCTGGGAACAGACTGGGCTCATTGCCATTCTGCACTTAGCCCAAGTCGTGGACTCATTGAATCCATTATGGATTCATGGTATCTTGTCAATATTGGTAAGTTGATTCTTAATCTGTTCTTGAGATTACAAATGAAGCTAACATAAAACTTAGTTCATAACGACTTCCATAAGTCACATGGGCTCTTCCCACTTTTCGATGGGCTCACTGTAAAGAATCTCAACGAATCTTTCGAAACCTCCGAGAATGGTGACGTTGATGGTGTACGATTTATCGAACCCCAAACCGTCCCACTGACAAACGGAGAGGCCAATGGCCATTAATACTTTCAACATGATTATACTTAAACTTTTTCAACACGATTTTACGATTCAACATGCATGAGGATGGGTTCACAATGGTTTTATGGCATTTAACATTGCATTTAGCGCTGGTGTTTATGGGCAAACTTCAACAAGTTTGGCGTTCAAAAAGGGATCTCAACGATCTCTAACATGGAATGAAAGGAAATGGGTGGGGGTTTATAAAAGCAACGGCCAATATTTTTTAATGGAATGGGGCACGTACTTGGACGGACTTGTGATATCATTGCCTTCAACGGCGCTTTTATAGATGAGCGATTCGTTAGTGTTTATTATTGCAGACAGCTTCTTTCGAGATATTGGTGTTGAAATACACGATATATCGAATTAATTGAAGGTTATTTCTTTGCATACTATTTTGAGAGTTTATCGTCATGTGAACGAAGGAAACTTAATGCTCTTGTAGTCATTTCGCTAAGTGTATGTGATAGTTCGACTTTCTTGGTCACTTGCTAATCAAATAACTTGCAATTCCCCCCAATCTTCAACATATATTTTCTCTTCTCTATAACATGTTCAGCTGCGATCTTAGAGGTTTATTTCCTTCCCTTACCTACTAAAATGTTATCTTTCGAAGAACAACCATTCACTCCAAGTTATTGACTCATCTCATATATCTCTTTTAAATAAGCAGATCCTCTTATCAACCTAGGTAGTCATAGTCTCAGAGATTTGTTGCATATCTGAAATCCCTAGGTAGGTTCTCCATGGAGAACAACTGGGCTTGGTCTATCGCTTGTACGTTTTCTATCGTAGATGGGATCTGTTATCCCAGGGTTATAATTACCTAAAACTTCTACTCACCCAGGTCCCGAAATCAGATATGCATCAAAGATGTCGATTGATATGGTTGCGATATTCATCAACTCGGAGTGATTTTGTGTAGACATATAGATAAATAGATAGATGGTGAATATATAAATATATTTAAATGTGAAGTGGGCGAGAAACCAAAAGAAGGAGAACTTTTGTTGTGTTGTGTTTTGTATTTCCAATTTTTCTTGGGATGCTTAGGTAGGTAGATTAAGTCTAGGGATTTATTGTTTATCTGTATAGACTATAGGTTATACGTTGTTGCATTCAGGTTTCTGTCCTGTCCTGTCCTGTCCTGTCCTGTATAGATCTTTCCTCTGGTTTGGATAGACAGATATCTATTACCTAGGTACCTATGCAACCCAGCTCCCTCGCTTGCTCGCTAAGTCGCTAAGTCTTGCTTGGTTTACCCGGGAATGTGAATACTTAAACACACCTTAATAGATGTGTTGGATACAGCTCATAATCGGAATCTCCGATTGGATACGTAAGTATTATCATATAATGATACTAACTACATAGGTATATATATACATGTATAGCATGGTACCATACAGTACTCCCCTGTAACATAAATCCAAGTACCTGTGTACCCCTCGATATGAGAGTTCGGAGCAAGAATTATATTTGTGAGATGAGAGGAGAAAAAAGGAGAGGAGATCAAAATCAACATGAAGATGTGTCACGTAAGAAACTGCGATATCATACTCTCCTCTCTCCCCACAATCTCACATCCACCCTATCTATCTATTATATACGCTAGCATACATAGCATACATAGCAAACACAGTAATCCGACCACCCACCTCCTCCACGCGCAGCCTGGACATCACCCCTCTCCCTCCAACCAAAAGCAAAAGCAGAAACTACGCCCCCAGATTCAAAACCTCATCCTACATCCCATTCCATCTCACTATTTTCTCCACCCACATCTTATTTCATCCCCTCTCCTCTCCGTGCCATCCCCTCGCTCCCCTCATACAATCCCAAACTCTCTCAATCTACTTCATACTTTTCAGCCCATGTATCATATTCTATATCTACCAAAGAGTATTCGCCATCTTCCCATTCCAAGTCAAAGCCCTCATACTTCAAATCCCCTCTTCACAAATCCTTCCTACAGTTTTACTTCTAGCTACTTTACTCATTCTATGTCCTGTACACCATGAAGTGCATATATTTTTACGACCATCCTTTATCACTTCCCAAATCTCTCACACACGAAACACAGCACAATCAGGATGTAAAAGCACTATATAAGAATTTATAAATTTTAAAACTTTTTTTGATTCTATCTAGTATATAATATAATACCTCCCGAATTTCTTCTCTTCCTAACGAAAGAGTTTCATCAAGAGGTACCAATCAATCGTTTTATCTTAACCCATCCCAATATACCCATGCATTCCACCCCAATTTTCCCCTCAAGCTGTGTGACGCAATGTAAAAGTAGCAAAGAATAAACAAACACCTGAAAAGAGCAAGCGAGCGCAACCCCCGAAAAAGCTGAGCTGTGAAGAAATAGAGAAGTCTTGCATATAAAAATACATACAAACATTTCCATTAATCGCGCCCCTTTTCTGTCCCGCCAACTATCTCATTCAGCAAGCAAGAAGCTAAAGCTGCATTAGATTGCAATACCAAAGTGTAGGTTTTCGGTGTGGTGATATTGTATTTTTTTTTGTCCTTGTCTGTTGCGTGAGCGAAGGCCAATCCTCTTTTCTTCCACCCAAATCGTCTCATATGCTTTTCATCATCCCGGTCAAAGGACATCTCATCTTCTCCTCCAACAACCCATCATAACAACGTCTCTATAAACAAGGTACCAATTGAGAAAAAAGCAAGGCCATCTAATATAGCGCTTAAGAAGCTGGTATCCGTCTATAACATTTTCTTTCATTTCCCCGTTCCCGAAATCTGAATGAAATGTGATATTGTCCTGCTGAACAGGGACAACAAATGCGAATGAAATAAAATCCCCAGCAACACAAAAATTGCTAGGCCTCTAATCACAACTCATCCCTTCGCCGCCAAATGCAATGCTAATATATAAAACCACGCAAACTTTTCTTGAAATCGAATGTACTCTGTAAATCTCGACGCTGTTGGATGGAGCGGAGTAAAATAAAGAAAAATGTAACAACGCCCATGCAATGCAATAAAAACCGTCTATAAGTTGCCCCACCCAAACGTATTATTCGTGTCATTTCGCTCTTAAATGTTGGTATGTACACCCTGCACCGGAGAATCGATCTTTGCGTTTACTGGCCTGAACAATTGTGCCATGTCTAGTGTTAAGTTTGCTACCCCAAAGTCCTTGTCAATGTCACTGACTGATCCAGGTTCCTCTCCTCGTTTTGCTGTGTCAGTGGAGGCCCATCGCTTGGAAAACTTCAACAGTTGAATCACATGTGTGAATCTTTGGTCCGAAGGCATCTGCCAATCGGGTTTTTGAGAAAGCATACACTTCTGAAGCCAGTAAAAATGTGCACCATCACGACAAAACCCGAAACGGCGAGAGTAGGAGGATCCTGGAGGATATTGGACACTGATGTCCTCGTCCCAAGCTTTCTTCCACTTTTCAAAGGCGGTTGTAACAGTTTTCAAAAGTTGATGAGAATGTGGAGATTGACCGTCAACAGGAGTTGCTCGCCCACTGTTGTTTGCACTTGGTGCTCCACTACCGCCTTGATCACCGCCCCTAACTACCCAATCGTTTTGACTCAATGGTGTGTTTGCTCCACTGTTCAAGGATGCAGTGATTTGCCCAGATTCCTGCGACATCTGTTTTTGAGCAGTCCACAATTGTACATGAAGAGCATGAATCAGAACGAATTTGGAGAATAAGTTCGTGGTACCTGGCTGCATTTCATATGTGTGATGCATCAGGGTTCTAAGCACGGTGTGCATTTCTGGTTGCTTGCGTCGACGGCTACCTTCAGGGTTCTTTTGGGCCGAGACCGCGGCACCGTTGAGCCCGAGAGCATCAGCACACTCTGCAGAAGTGCGAGCTTCCCATGCAGCGTCATCGGCGGGAAGAGGAAGGCGGATCTCCAGCGTATCGAATGAAGGAGCAATATTGAAGAATATAACCAAAGCAGAATCCAACAAAAAGATCATATAAAGTAGCCTCGATCTCTTTTCCTGCTCAACCCACGCGTTCCAATCGAAGTTTGCGGCAACAAAAGCATCGACGTTTACATGACCTTGGTGCAAGACGCTGAAAGAGTTTGTGGTCATTGGTTGGGTAAGACCCGCCCTTCTAGCCAAAGAAACAACCATAGGGAAGTCACGTCGGGCTTTCTCGCGCTGCAGTGGTGTGCCATGCCATGTGAAAAGCACTTGCATCAAGAAAATTGCTGCGATTTGTTCAATCTCAGATTTGGATGATCCGATTGGTTCATTGGCATATTCAGCATTTGGCGCGCGAGAAATTACTGAGTAGACTTGAGAATTGGACTCTATAACCATCTTTACAATCTCCATCATCTCGCGGACTTGGGCTGGGCTCATACGATCAGAGTAAACAGCACCAATGCAGATCATACCTAGTAGAAGACCTTCATAAGAATCGGTGATACGGAATGTTGACATGTGGATGATAGGGAAATGACCCTGGAAATTGCTAAACTGTTCAAGAAAGTGTTTAATATTGTCGGCCGAGAGAAATTTGCGGATTTCTTGGCTACGGGCATTGAATTGTGGATTTGTGGTAAGGCAAAAATTTAGCAATTGGCTTGAAATTTGCTGGAGCGGATCATTTGGAGCTGGAATATTCCAATTGGAGAATTCAGAGCCAGTAATATCGGAAGCCCCAGGATAGACACCAGTAAGGAAACCGTGATTAGGAGGTTCTTGTTTTATTTGTATATGTGAGTTCGCGAGGTTCGAGTTGTATGGTTCTTGTTTTATTTGCATTTGTTGGTTTGCGAGGTTCGAGTTGTTGTAAGGAGTCATGAAGTTGTTTTGACCGTTCGATTGCATGTGAGGCCATTCGAGTATCGAATGTTGGCTGGCGTTCGCTCCTGCATAGACAGGCATCGGAGGTCGCCCGTTAGAAACAGTTGACATTCCCTCCATCGACTGCGCATGCAAGTTAGCAGTGTTGCCTTGAGAAGCAAAATCGTAGCTCTGACTGTAAGAATGACCATTCTGTCCATTTGGCATACTGAATGCCATGGCAGGGTTCATAGCGGAAGACATAGTACTTGGCATCCCTCCTCCGTAACCTTGATCAAAACTCGATCGACTTGAACCGCCTGCAGCAGGTCCACCAATTCTTCGGTCTCTGTTATCGGGGTTACCCAGTCGCTGAAGGTCGTTCGAAGCTTTCGAAGCTTGGTCATCTGTTAGGTTAGAGCTAGCATCGGCAATACTTCCATCAGGAACGACACCAAATGGGTGCATTGAGCCATCATTTGGCATACCATTATTTGGCATGCCATTCATGCCATTCATACCCATAATGTCAGATTCTGGGCCCATCGTCTGATGTGCCTTTGGTCCCGGGTGTGACTTCTTCAGATGTGCTTGTGCATGAGACAAGTGACTTGCTCCAGTAGGGTTTCCACGGCGAATTGAACATTTTTGGAAATGACGTTTCAAAATATCACTACGAGAAAAGGTATCACGACAAAGTACGCACATGTACGGACGATCTCCAGTATCTAGGGGGTGTTAAAGACACATTCAACAATTGACGGATATAACATTGGGGAGATACTCACGTCTCAATAAATGACGCTTAAGATGCTTGGCGTGAAGGTACGTCTTGGTACAATGAGGACAAGGGAATTTTCCATCAGCATCCTTTGCGGGGATCATGGCATTTTTTGTGGATCCAGGACCAGTAGCGGTGACCTGCGGGCGACCCGGAGCACTAGGTAATATTCCTCTTCGACCCTGCGAACCCACTACATGGGTAGGAGGTTCTTCTGCAAGCACTTGCTGTAGCATATTGGGCTGAGAGTAAGCCGAATGCATCGACAGATGTTGTGGGACATTGCTCGCCGGCATTGGTCTCAGAGGGGGGCCTCGACTATTTGCAGGAGCAGGAGCAATTGGCTGATTGTGTGATAAAGCACCAGACGATTGGGGCATCATCGAGGGCGAAGGACGGTATTGATGCTGCGGGGGTTGCTGCTGATAAGAATTTCCATACATCATTTGTGCAGGCCTCGATTGTGCCCCAACCTGTTGATATCCTAAACTAGCAGATCCTGGAGTGTTTGGAGTGCCTGGAGTGCGGGGAGTATGAGGCGCGCTCCATGATTGTTGTTGTTGTTGCTGCTGTTGTTGTTGTTGTTGTTGCATGGCAGCGTGTTGCTGCGGTTGAAGAGGCGGCAAAGTGTGAGGAGGCAAGTTCGAATTGTGTTGAAGCTGGTGCGGTGAAATACCAGGAAGCGGCGAATATGGCGAGTTTCCGTTGCTCATCGCGTTTGAATGATATTGGGCGTTGTCCATTACGAGTATGGACTTTTTAGTTCGAACTTTCTTGACTGAAAGATCGATTACTCAATCATAAAAACCTTTCGCTATACCGTCTATGTGACTGAATCTTGATATCTAGTTCTTGAGGTTGAACTATGATAAACTGCGACCCAATTGGTTTTGTCGCGTCGAAATATTTACAAGTGAAGTTTTCGAGTTTTCTTTTTTTTTTCCGTCAACGGATGTACGTGTTGCAGCGTCTTGTCAATGGGATTGAACCGTAGAAAGTTTGAATGGTCCCTGCGTCAAGAATGATGCGCGCCGTAACCAATATGATATCGAGGCCGTTATGGAGAATGGATAACACCTTGGGGGTAGCTTGAATGAAGCGCGACGAAGTCTTGCTATGAGGCTCAAGATGTTTACTCTGAATTGTTCGTGTTCGAAGCAATAAGTGGATCCAAAGAAGACTTTATCCGTCCAGAGATGGGCGCAAATAAACGCGGTGGTGGGGAACTTTTTTTTTTTTGCGAGTGTGAGGATGCGGTCGATCAACAGGGTCCCTTCAACGCTTTTTAGGAACCAGAAAAAAAATAAGAATCCGCCAAAGCAGTTTGAAAGCTGTCTCTCTGTAGCACGGCGTCTATTAAACTGGAGATTGAGGGGGTGGGATGCGGGAAGGAAGGTATGCTTGTTGCCTTTTTACCTTTCCTCGATAAATCTTCAAACCGGATGGGAAAAGTTATAAGAGTGGACACTGAGTAGGTTTGGTGGGTTGAAAGATGGATGGTGAGAAAGGTAGTAAGATGGAGAAGAAAAACGACGGACGTCGGTTTGAGTGGAGAGGGCGTCACAAGAAATTTTCACTCTCTCTGTCTCTTCTTGAGGGAAAAAAAAGGAAAAGGGAAAAATTGAATAGTACTAGGTAGTGTTCGGTATTTAGTGCGGTGAATGAGTAAGGATTTTCTTCCCTGAATCAATAAGATAATGCCGCTTTATGGAAGATATGTTCCTCTTTCGGTGATAGAATGAATGAAAGTGATTTCCAAATGAATATTCCTTCGCACTCATGGATTGAAATAGAATAGTTTGGATTTATAACGGTGAGGATGGGATGATGGTTGAGAGCGAAAAAATGCATTAGCTTAACAAAGCATTGACATGGCAAGCACGATTGAGTAGACAGGACAAGGTAGGGACAGACAGAAGTACGGGTTAGAGTTTAGATGTCTACTTCCAAAACTCTTGTCATGTTCATTTATTGAGTCGTCGAGTATCAATACTTTCTAGGGCAAAAGATTCGGTGCATCCTGCTCGGGTAGGTTCTAATGTCACACGCGTAGTATCTACTCTCTTGTCAATCTAGCACGGCAGTGTGTTTCCTCGTGGAAATGAGGCATCTTGTAAGTTGTATGTACCTCGTAGTATCTAAGATGCTGCTGCTCGATCCATCACGATATTTCCCATATGATAAGCTTCTGTTATGTAAAGAGTTGGCGTTTTACTACTTGATCCAGAGTAGATCGGAAATAAGTGCCGCTGACTATTGTCTATTCTTTCTAGCTCGAGATACTTGTGACTTATGTCAATACGTAGCAAGTATGTACGGAGTATGTATGTACTGCGGTCTACAAACGGTTCCTTCCAAAAGTTACTTTCCCAAAATCGACATCCGAATCTCATTGACAGAGAAGGAATCAATCTTGAGTCGCTATGTTTTCGGTCCCGGACTAAATGCTGTACAGTCACTGTCCAAAACTACCTACCGTATATGTACCATGACTTGGTTGAGCAATGAGTAGACGATTGAACGCTTACCAAACTCTCTTGTAAAGGGGGTTTATGTCATGTTAGAAAAGTCACAAGTTTCTAACCATACCTAGCTAGGTGTTTAGCAGTTACCAGACAATAAAATGTACCCTTGTCAATCAATTTGTTTTACCCTTTCGATTCTCGAATTCCGAAAGAACAAGAGGATTTCTTCTACTGTGCATTTGGAGTTTTGCCGAATTTCCTGCGTAGGCGATGGAATAGATGAAAATGGCATTATCTCCTGATTCCTAATTCATCTCGAATCGACAAACTTACGAGGCTTACATCTACCGGCCGGCATGTGAGCAAGGTTGGGTTCTACTCACAGCTCGCTATCCTTTCATGATGCTTTTTGTTCAATGGTCGTTTCTATGGGTGGCAGTTATACTTTCCACTTGTACATGAGCCATGTAGGTAATAAACAGTATTGATTCGACAGCATTGATGCGAGAAGTTCGATGGTGCTTCGAAACAGCTTCCACTAATAAAGAATGAACCTTCCCAAACCTCTTTCTCACGCATCCCTCGACGCATCCAACCATCCATTCGTGAATCCCGAAGTTTCTTCGCATCGTCAAACTCACAATACTACCTACCACTCTTCAATAACATGTCACCAGCGCACCATCTGATAACACAAGAAACGGTTTACTCCGTGATATCATCTACCTCAAACAACTTAATACCCAGCAAGCCAAATGCAGTATCATGTACTGTGTACAACACATTCAAAACATTGTCCTACTAAGTCCTACTTTGTCAATCAACTCACACGCTACCGCCAGCTCAGGCCCTGATGCATTTCGTCACTTTCAGAACAGCCACGCTGCCTTCGCACACTCGTCCACGAATGCTATGCGGCCAAGTATGATCGTGAGGCAATGAAACTCAACCAAAGCCGCACGTCCGGCTGGCGACAGGTCTTTTCCCGGATACAGACACCCTACAAGTTACGAAGTACTCCTTTAATGCTCAAATTTCTTTTTTGGGCAAAGTTTATATCCAGAAGATCTCTCCAATAGGAGTACAAATCCCGAACTCCCGAGCTACCGTGGTCACAGAAAACAAGAAGTTGACCATGGGTTCCTAACAATCACAACACATTGGAAAATGGAAGCTGACGATCCTTTCTTTTCCGCCTCAAACGTTGATAGAGTTGTTTTTTTCCGAAGATTTTGTTATTTTATTGTATACCATGATTAACAGGGTTCTCAAGCAGCCGACAGAGTGTTTCTGCATGCTGCTTTTTCACAAAAGTCCCGGCACACTTGCCGAATTATATGACATGGATTTCAAGCATGTTGTACTGCGTGCTGCGTCATCTAGAAGAAACACACAAACGGTGTGGCGGTACGGAGTAATATGTGCTAGGTACCAGGTAGGTACACTATGCAATCTTTTATATTTTTGTTCATTTGTGAAAAGTTCGGGATTTCTTATCGATTCGGATTATCACTGGTCAATCTTCTGTTAAACTTCTCTTGGTATCATACCTATCCAAACTTTCGAGATCAATGGTGTTGACTCCCCAGTCACTTAGTATTCCGAAATTGGGATCTATATGATTACTTACCAGTATCGTCTTCGTCGTCGTCATCATAAATTATTCGGATTGCTCTGAGCCATTGATAAAAATAACAGCCATCCCGCGCCCAAGCACAACAGCGGCTATGTGCTCAATGAAGAGAGGCTTGTGATGTGATTTCCAGCGAAAAGTTATCCTTTTCGGTGTGGCGCTACCACTGCATTATCGATGTGCTCAATCATTCCAGGCGGCCATGTTTACTACTCTGTACGAGAACTCAGGAATCAGGATAGGTCCTAAACTGCTTACAGGCTTGGATTAAAGTTCAACCTAGCTTCTACTTCGGTCCTTTGCTTCATTTGGGTCGTCCATCCGTCCTTAACCCATGCAAAATTCGTCCCGTTCACGAATCACCATTGGTATTTGGCATCATGGCATGATGGATCAATTCCAATTTTCAGACAGTTGGTAATTCTTCTTATGCCAATGATATTATCTACATATCTCAGTGCTACTGCGCTGCAGCTCACAAGGTTTCTACACTATGAACGCATAATACTTTATTCAGAAAGATCAAACGTCAAACTGATACCCTCTAAGAAAGCCAAGTCATTGAACAACTTCGTATCGATAAACTTCGGACCTTGCACCAATGGAAGCAGTCGCACTAACGCCTAAAGGCTAAAGTATATTCTCGATCTTATCTTATGGCAACTATGTAAATCTCTATCTAACACGACTCACGACTCACGACTCGTGACTTGTGCAATTACATCGCAGTATTGGAAGAATACCGCCCAAATTCTCAATGCAATACCGCACTTTGACTTTTCTTTACCGAGGTTCAGGCGATAAGCTGCTCTTTTATTGAGAGCGGAAAGGAAGTCTTGAATCTCCAAAAACAGTTTTCCTCCGTACGCGTGCGTGGCTGCCAGCGATCGAATATCTAGCTGGCTGGCTGCTCTAGCTTCGATGTTGTGAGGGTTGGGAATTTTAACCCCTTGCTATCCGACAGCATTTCCCCCAAGTGCTCTTTTCGAACCATTGACAAACTACACGATGGTAATGGCGCCGAAGGAATTTTACACCGCTCGCCTCCACATGCTGACTTGAAGATATTTTATGTATCAAGTCCTCAATGTACAACATCAGGTGATTGTAAAGGATTATATGAAGTACATACGTTGAGTAGATACATCATCCGGCCTATTGAAAGCTTGCTTGATAGAAGATTCGAAAGGGTTGATGCACTGGAAGACCCGCGTACGGAGCATCCATTATGCGGTGTAACAGGAGTATTTTCCCTGTACATAAAATCAGCAGCATTCACAGCGTTTTAATCATCTTTGCTTATGATTCGTTAATCTGATGATTCTGATCTGAGAGAAAGTCAAGGGTCGGATCTAAACAAATTGCATTATGAGCTTCGTGTCAAAAGGATCGAACTAAAAAGTCTCACCAATACATAATTGGATTCCTAGATTGCCAGACAACTCATTATTTAACGGAAGAGGCTGGCAGGTTGCATTCCAAAACGAGATCTACAAGGATTTATGCTTGATCCTCTCCCAAGTCAACCTGTCAAGCAGGGGGGAAAGAGGTCAGATCCATTTCTTTGCGCTTCCATGCCCATTTTTTTATTCTTCAGGCGCGCCGTTTCCGCTACTGTGACAGTGTGATTTTTTTCTTCGATGTCTTGCTGTTATAACAATAATGCCACGTTCCTAACTTATTGCGAGTCATGCATGGAAAAGCCCGTGTTTCAATGCATCAAAAGTGGGATGCTACTGTATTGTCCGAATAAGCATTGTTGAGGCGGTACTGTGCGACAAAAGTTGTGTATATCAATACTCGATATTCCACCGCCTCGCCTGCCAACTTCGTGCCACAAATTGATTTCCAAAATTGTCCATAATGTACACTCGAGGTAATATTTGTTCTCTGAGCAGGATAACACGATGTGAATATAGCACATTTTAAATGAGAGTGTGCTTTCGATCAGATTCTTCAACTTCAAGTGAAGTGATTTCAAGGATCGATTGATTCTTTCACATGTTCCATTGCCTTGCTCCTCTTAATTTCTTTTGCACTTTACTATAGGTCTGCCATGACCGCTATGATCACAAAGTCTGAACTTCGGGTCTAGATTGAACAATAGTTCATTTTCACCGATAGGTTGAATAGGTGTATTCTCTTGCAATTGTTCCTGCTGTCTTCGTATGTAAGATGAGGCGGATTGAAGAAGTTTCAAACATTAATTGACATCCAAGAAGATCTTCGCTTCACCTTGTCTTACTTGGATTTCATGTTAAAAATTTCGTAATTAGGTCACATGATTCACCCTGCCTCCAGAATTCTGGATTGTTGATCGTTCTATATATAAATCTTACCGAGACAAGAAGTGGTGCCCCTTACAAGGCTGTGTAATTTCCTATTGCCACAAATAAAATAAGCTTAGTATTTGAACCATTCGGTTCTCTGCTTTCTTTTGCAAATACATTCACTGACAAACAAACAAACCACCTTCGTTTCAATTCATACAATTCTACAAGCTCAAGCTTTTTAATCTCAAAAACATTCGAAAGTAATATCAACCACCTTTCTCATCACCAATTCACTCCACGTTCAAAATGCAGCCTTCCATCTTCCTCGTTGCTTTCGCATCTATTGCAGCAGCCACTACTGCATCTTCTGATGCCTCATCTGCAACCAGCGCTATCGCCCCACTCGCCAGCGGCACCTTCACCAACGGAACCGCAACCAACGGTACTCTTAGCGGCTCCACGACTCGTTCTCCTTCGGCTTCCTCTACTGGAGACGCGGCTGCTTCATCAACTAGCAAGGCTGCTGGTTCCGCCAACTTTGTCTCAGGAGGTGCATTCGCTGCAGCCGCTGCAGGAATGGTCTACCTCTTGTAATTTTCGATCGATCTTTGGCTTTCAGATTGTTGTGATACCCGGGTCATTGCATGCGAGAATGTCACCCTCTTGATTACTGTTTGGCATGCATGGCGTTGCTTAGGGTACTCTTCCAGATAAGATTGAGTGTGCATTGGAGGAGCTTCGGAACGGTGGAGAGCATAAGGCTTAGGCGGAGACGTACATTCAGATGTGGAGATAATATAACTATCCTGGCATTCTTACATGCTAGCTTCAATTCTATCATACCCTCTTTAGACTACCAGTTGCCAATGAATGTGACAACTTTTAAATATTAGACGTCATTGACTAGCCTGTATATGAATGAGAAAGCAGTGCTCCAAATCACTCGAAGAGAATCATACATATATTGAAGATATTTGAACGCAAATTGATATCACTGTGAAGTACTGAAATTCAAACATAGATAGTATAGAATCTATAACAGGTTCATAACTTATCAATGTTCTGGTCCAACTCTCGATTTGTAATACCGATTATTTAATGTGATATTGGATATTGAACAGAGCATATATTTTCGATGACCCGTCCTTTCTACCCACCCTGGGACTAGCTTCAATAAATTGATCCTCCATGGATTATCACCGACCACGATCTAACCTTTGAACATCGGAACAATAGACAATCAAAAGCAATGCTCCTATGATAAATGACATAGTACCAGACGTCTTACAGAAACGATCATCCCCAGCTCGCTGGAAACCAATACCAAACACTAGACACGACTGTAGAACATAGCACCAAAACAGCTAAACATGCAAACAAATCTAGATCCAGCTCCTGTGACTTCAATTTCATGCATGCAATAGGATATGGATGTTCTGGGCGGATCTATGCCTTTGTTTGTGCGAGTCGCAGCAGAAATATCGCCATCGTACCACCGCACTAGCAGGGCTTCAGGCTGATAGGTATCCCAAGCAGCTTCATACTTGAGAAATATATGACTATCCCGGAGAAACAAGTGTCGCGTCTAACATGCAACTATACATTCGGCATCGGCATAGTGCATTTGTGCCGTTTTGATCAGCATTGGTGGTGTCGCACATGTCGTATTAATCCAATCATAGATTATTAGAAGCCATGATATGCATTGTTAGACAAATGGAGAATAAAGGGAAAGCCGATGGGGCCTAGAATAACTTCAGCTTATTTCTCGGTTCGGTATGGCATGTTGAGACTTTAGGTTGGGCATTTCAATTGAAGCATCGGGCGCGAATCCGATATGCAACAAAACTTCTTGTGCGACATCCGAAAGACCGTTAGAGGGATGTTTGTGTGACAGGTGGTTACTCAAGTCATGTGGTTGCAATAAATTCTGGATATATATTGACTTGCGCTTTAGGTCTGATTTTTTACCCCACCTGAAATTTATACGGTAACCGAAATAATTTATCGAGTTTTCGAGATTCTTGATTGATGAGGAAGTAATCTGGAGCCGGTGATTGCATCGCCATTGACAACTTCAACATAAGATGTCGACCTCTACAGTTATTCGACCTGTAGCTCGCAGCCTGCTACAACTACGAAAGGCAGCAAATACCCCGCCAGCATTCCTCCTTCCCTGCCTACAAAGCTCCTCCACAACTTCGTCATGCACTCAATCCACCTCCTTCTCTACCAGCAGCACATATCTATACCCCCGAGATATGAACCGTCTGCGCGGAGTATCTACACAAAGACGAACGGGGCCCCGTCAACCCCTCTCGGTATCCAATGCGAAACTACCCCAACCAGTCCTAGATGAATCGAAACGATTAAAAGTTAAGGTTGATGAGAATCACGGATTATATGAATTTTTCAGACATAAGGATAAGGCACTTAGCACGCCAGCCGAGGAGGGAAGTCATGGTAGACCATGGAGCGCAGAGGAGTTGAGGGGGAAGAGTTGGGAAGATTTACATTCACTTTGGTGGATTTGCTGTAAGGAGAGGAATCGCATTGCTACGGAAAGTTACGAGAGACAGAGATTGGAGGCGGGTTACGGTGATGAGGATGCGGAGAAGAGGGATATGACTGTGAGTGGTTATCTCGGTTTATGTCCTATTTGGCTCATGTGCCGCGCAAATTTAAGGATTGAGAATAGAAGCTAATTTCGGGGATCACAGGTTCGGAGAACACAGAGAGCTATCAAACAAGTTTTGACTGAAAGATATTATTCGTGGCAAGAAGCGGAGGTTATTGCGAAGGATGATCCAGAAATTGACTTTTCGGGCGAAGGACCATTATACACCCCCAGAGATTTTGAGGAAGACATTGAGGAGGATGTGTTAGCTGAAGCCGAAGGAGACGCAGAGTCAAAACCTGCTCAGGTTACGGCTTAAATCACGGAGGATGTATGATAGAGGATCATACCCCTAGATCAAAAATAATGAGTCTTGGGGAAGGAAAGGTGTCTCCAATTGGCATGAATGATTTGGTTTCCTACAGCCATCATCTGTATAAGTAGAAACGCATATGGGGCAAAACAGCTATGGCCGCATTATGCATCCATGTGAATCTGAGAAAAGGATTATCTCTGTCTTGAACAATTGGAAAGATTGGTATAGTATGAGTAGAATCTTTCGTTCCTTGGTACTTCTAGAAGGAGATCAAGTGAAAGTTTCAATATAAGTGAATACCGTTAGAAATTCAAATTAACAGATTCCATGTACCAAATACATATATCAATTTGTCAAGACCCAAAATCAATCGTGACAATTTACTAGGAACTCCACAAATTCGCCCCTGAGCATAATTACACCAAGACAAAATCTACCAGCAGCAACAACAAAGCGGTACTCCAGTTTCCCCCTTTAGCGAGACCAATCAAGAGAATTGGTGAAGCAGAACGACGTTGTACGTCTCACCGACCATTTCCATAACTGCCCTTGCAATTTCAGCATAAACCACATTTGCGATTTTTCCTCACCAAGAAAGCTTTCTATATTCTTCTTCTTCTACTTCCTTTCGCAAATCAAACCTACTATCTAATAAATATCAAGATTCTAATTCAAGATGGATGAAATCGCCCCCGAATATGATGTTGTCGTTTTGGGCACTGGTAAGCTTGCTCAACCCCGCATTGGCTGGAGGGGCATGGATAGGAGCATTTATGCTTTTTGTTGGGGATATATGGCTAATACTGAACTCTAGGTTTGACGGAATGTGTTCTTTCTGGGTATGTCGATTTGGGAAAAGTTGATGAGATTATATACTGACGTTTTGGGGATAGAGTTTTGAGTGTTAAGGGTCAAAAGGTCTTGCATATTGATCGAAATGATCACTATGGAGGGTATGTTTTTCAAGCTCGCAGAATGGGTAGATAAGTCAACAATGGCTAATTTCTGAATAGTGAAGCTGCTTCCGTCAATATCGAAGCTGTGAGTACGATTTTTGGGTCTGCGAAGCTCTGTTCTGACAATCACGATAGCTCTTCAAGAAGTATGGAAACTATAATAAGGGGGAGGAGCCATGGAAGAAGTACGGACGTGCCAATGACTGGAATATCGATTTGGTACCAAAGCTCTTGATGTCTTCGGGTGAACTCACAAATATCCTCGTTTCAACTGATGTTACGAGATATCTTGAGTTTAGATCTGTGGCTGGAAGTTACGTACAACAAGGTACTGGCCCAAAGGCCATGGTTGCAAAGGTTCCATCTGATGCTGGTGAGGCTTTGAGATCATCTTTAATGGGCATCTTTGAGAAAAGAAGAATGAAGAGTTTCCTTGAGTGGATTGGCACATTCGATGCTGCGGATCCTGCTACTCACAAGGGTAAGATGGTTGAAACACCTCCCATTCAGTAATTTACTAACGAAAACAAGGACTTAACATGAGCACCTGCACCATGAAGGATATTTACGACAAATTCGGACTCGAGACTGGTACTCGAGACTTCCTTGGCCATGCTATGGCTTTATACCAAACCGATGACTATATCAACGAGAAGGGCACAGCTCCAGCAACCATCGATCGCATTCGTTTGTATGGAAACTCAGTCGCCCGTTACGGAAAGTCCCCATACATTTACCCAGCATACGGTCTCGGTGAACTCCCTCAAGGTTTCGCTCGTTTGTCTGCTATTTACGGTGGTACCTATATGCTTAATGCAAGCATCGATGAGTTCAAATATGATGGAGATAAGATCTGCGGTATCAAGGCTTCCATGCATGAGAAGGATGCTCAAGGAAATGACTCCACCATGCATTTCGAGACTAAGACAAAGAAGATCATCGCAGACCCATCATACTTCCCTGACAAGGTCCGCGTTGTCGGTCAACTCTTGAAGGCTATTTGCATCTTGAACCACCCACTTGCTGGAACAGATAATGCTGATTCTGCTCAACTTATCATTCCTCAATCTCAAGTAGGACGCAAGAACGGTATGTTTTCCAAAGACACGAAGCATTAGGATATTGTGACTGACATATTTATAGATATTTACATTGCTGTCGTTTCCAGCGCCCATAGTGTTTGTCCAAAGGGTTACTACATCGCCATTGTTTCCACCATTGCTGAGACCGATTCAAACCACCATTTGGAACTTGCGCCAGGTCTTGAGCGTCTTGGAAAGATTGAGGAGAAGTTCATGGTAAGTAATTCTTCTTATACCACCACTCGGCGTGCCCAAAATTCCTCAATGCTGACATAAATCACTAAATAGGGTCCACCAATTCCTCTCTATGAACCACTTGAAAGCGGCGAGAAAGACCGTATCTTTATCTCTAAATCTTACGACGCCACATCCCATTTTGAAACTACTACAGACGATGTTAAGGATATCTATCGCCGGGCTGAGGGACATGATTTGGTCGTCGAGGGTTTGAGAGAGGGTACTAATTTGGTTGGAGGGGAGCAATAAATCTTGATTTATGATGCATGCATGAGCGGAGAACATTCAGAGAAATTAGGAGTAGATAGTTAAGGTTATACGTACATAGTGAGGATGAATATGGATAGGAGGTCCTTGAGCTATTGAGTGGACAGAGAGCTTTTATGTATAGGAATGGTATAAGGTACTTTTTTTGCCTGTGCAATTTTTGATTTATGTTTATAGTTTTAGTAATTGTTTGATTCGTTTGTTTATGCACAGCCAATCTTTTTTATAATATACTTATTCCCTTCAGCTAGGAGCGAACGAGGAGAGAGATTTCAATATTCCGATTTGTGTATGGACGTGTATTTTTCTATGTTTTGGTCTTCGTCTTCGTCTTGCCCTTTACCTTTGCCTCTGTGTTTATCGAGCTTGGGCTTGGCTTTCGAGAACGAAATGGGGGATAAGTATTGTTGGATGGGGTAAATGAAGCTACAGAGAGGGGTTCATGGTGTGCTTCAAGCTGCGAGTCTAATGATGTGATTCCCATTCTTCATAATTCGGAGGGTTTCAAGGAGATAGATAGAAGAGTTAGCGTGGTGAATGGGAATAAGGGGGTGTCGGATTGCCCGCGTTTAAGATGGTGAACTCGTATGTAGTGTGCTTGGATTTAGGTGTTGTGCATAAACACACAGGGAAAGAAAAGGTGGTTTTGAGGAGTTTTATGGTCGGAATGGTTTTTGTTGTTGCAGTTGAGTGCGGTTGGTCTGGGAGAGTGTGTTTAGTTGATCTGAGGGGTTACTGGTTACTGGTTACTGGATTTCTGTTGGCTGATGCGTAGTCTGCTTTGGTTGCGAGGTGGTGGTGTGTGGAGCTGTATTGTTCGTGTAGGCATTTGGATCTATAGAAAGAAAGACTTGAGAGAGATTGTACGATGTTGTAACTCCACGGACTGACTTGGGTTGAAGATTTCATGAATAGCTAGCTAGCTGTTCGCTAAGAGATGGTTAGGGGGTGATGGAACGATGGGATAGGTTGTAGCTGGGTGATGAGTTTATGTTGGATTGGAGGTGGGTTGGTGAGTTTGCTTGATTTGGGTTGGGTTGTTGGTGTGAGAATTGAAGGGAATGGGGGTGTTTGTGTGAGGAAGAGGACTTTTTCTTAGTAAGTGTATTATTTTATCGTTGTTTCTATTCATTCGTTCATTCATTCTTCCTCTCCGCAAACAAATCAGGATTAGGTTCAGATGCTCGATTATCCTGATTAGAAAAAAGAAAAGGAAAAAGAAAGTATATAAAGCAGTGGCAATGGACGCAAGGAAGGCTACTTGGAGTTAGTTGATGTTCGAGACAGTAGACCTGGAGAGGGAGAGGTTAGAGGTGGAGTATAGTGTAGTGAATGGCTTCGATGAAGGTGGACTTGTATCAGAAGTGAGGGATTGCGTTGGTGGTTTCACGATTATTTAATTTGGTGGTGGGCATAAAATGAGATGAACAGGGAGGAATGGACAATTTGGGTGAGTAAATGAGTAAACACTGATAGATACTTTCTTGTAGGTATCTGAGTATACATGACACTCATCAACAAAGAAAGCACATCCCGAATTCTTTACAATTCCATAGTTCTTTTTAGCGAAGACATATTTCAGCTATCAATCTATCAATCAATCCCTATAGCTTGAACAACATGACCTGACAAACCCAACGATCGCCTTCAAAAGTTCAATTCAACAAACAATTGCTCTCCCCAGCAACTTCATAGCCCTTTCTCATATAAGGACTATGGGAGCACCTACCTTGAGATAGAAACGTGTGCAGCATAAGGGCTTATCAAGAAAGAGCGATACATAGTCAAGTAAGATACATAACCGATACGCTGCTCGAGAAATGTATACGCACATCGACTAAGGATTTGACTTCCATCTCACGGCTCACATTCTGAGGTCTGTCATCGTAACCATCGAACCAATCAGCTTCCAGTCCTGTAAGGCGACTCCTGAGAAAAACAAAGAGCACTCAATGGTACTCTGTCATTTCGCCTTTTGCCTTCCACTTCTGAAATGCGACATTATATCCTTGAATGCCAGAATTTACCACCTAGCATACCTACCTAGTCGGCAGAGCATTGTATGAAATGAACATTCGGTCCAAGAGAATGCATTTTCGAATATATCGGGAACATCAAACTCCCTTTGCTCCTCTCCCGTCTTTTTCTTCTCCTCAAAATTTCACTGTCAGAATTTTTACTCGACTCTCTACTCATCCGGCATAGTATTGAACTCTCTCTATTCTCCCCTCGTATTTCTTCCTCTTCTTGTCCTCTTCAAACAACTTCATCATATCGCCCAGATCCCATCTCAACTGAAAACTGAAACCGCGGATACTTTGCAAACCCAAACTTTGAATCTCAATTACGAACCCTATATTACTTTATCCTTCTGCTTCTGGCCAAAACTTCCATCGTCAATCTGCTTAAGGGGTATGTCGTTTTATAAATAATATCTTTACAATGATATGTTCTGGAACTCTTCTCCAACTATCTGCAATAGCAGAGTATAAACATAGCGTTGAAAGTCTTCAATTCAGCCGATTCTGGCATCACCAAATTGGTGACGCATGATGCATCAACTGGCTGTTAAATTGATCGAGTCTTGTGCGCTGGTTTGAAAGAATATTTGGGATGTTTCGAACAATATTCATAAGACTACCCTCAGGTGTGTGGGTGTGTGTGTGTATTTATGTGTGAACAATGAACGGAAACTACCTACTTAAATCCTGTGGTGCGTATCACAATGGTCCGTAGCTTTCGTATTATGGATACTTAATCCAAATAGATCGTTGTTGCCATGTTGCAATTATATTTCTAGGGATAAGCTCCCGTCACATAACATGATGCCAGTCGACGGTATGCGATTCAGAGTCTGCTGTACAATGTCTATCTTCCTCGCGCCTGCGGTGTTCAAAAGACTCTCCAGATGATTGTGACTTGATGGCTCGTTCGAATTCCTTGTTTTCAAGCCTGATCTCAATATATCCTTGTTCTACCTGTTCGCTGAGGTATTTTTGAGTCGCCATGTGGAAAGGCTCATGCCTAACATTAGACCTGACGCAACGGGGGTCATTGCTACAAAGTAACTGACAGGGTCGTTTTTGAAACGCTGGGCAAAGCGTTGGAGGTAGGGTTTGAGTGGTGGCATAAAGAATTGAGAGTTCTTTATTATTGACTGATGAATGGGAGATAACTATGAGGATTGAAGATGTTTCTGGGCTGTAAACATTTTTTATACTCGTGTCCCAATGAAACGAAACTCTAAAATCAGCTAAGGCATGTGGTAATATCGTCGTCGATGAAAGTGGTTTCCGTACTTAGGTAATTATTGCACTAGCTACGGCCTACCAAGCAATTCCACCCAATATTGCAGAGAGAACCTTTCTGTACACTTGGTCCAGCCAATTGGAGTTATTGATATTGTAAAAGTTCTCTTGAATTCCACTTGAGCGAGTACAGAGTGAGCCAGAAATTGAAAAGGCTGCAGCTTCACTCGGTTGGTTGGGTTTACGTAGCTGGGAGACCAATTTGTCTTGGACTGCGTAATGATCATGATTTCGGTGTGCAACTTCCAAGGTCTTCTTTATGCTACACTGAGCTCACAACTTCACTGTATTCAGCCTTGTCCGGGGTACATGTAGCCATAAAACTGTTCTTTGGTGGCTTTGGATTTCCCAATCTTGAACTACATCTATTCAAAGTTTACACTTAATCTCACTGTATGCTCTGTATTGAACAGTTCAAACAGATTTGCGAGCACATCATTATTTTCAACTTTGAAATAAGCGTGCGTATTTTACCTCCCATGCCAGTCTTTGTACGCGGAAAATATAACAAGAGCCTGTGAATCTGGCAATTCCTGTCACTTTTGCGTAGTGCTTCCAACGCATGCACCTGTTAAAGTAAACCCCTTAAAGGGTGTGGATATCAGATTCTACCGATTCCCGTGGTACCGTATTCTATTGACTTGAGGCCTAGTGCGCAGTTCCATGTGGAAATAAAAGGAACGCGCGTATACTGTACACAAGTTTCCTACATAGGCTGGACGAGCCGTGGTAGAGTAAAAAAATCAGTGGGCAGGCTCCATTTTGTTTGTAAAAATCAAGTCGGTTCGGTGCAACCACAGTGAGATAGCTGGCGATCTTGTCTCTGCTATATTTCCAATCGTTTGGAAGTTCATAATGCATACATATACCATGGATTGGCAGTGGGATTACAAGGTAAGGAAATGTAGAAGATAGTAATTTGTCGAGTTGCCAGATTGCCGAGGGCAGCAATATCGATAAAAGTCCGTCACGGAAGTGTCTCCTCTCCATAGCTTTTAAAGCACTGCCGAAAAGAGCCCCCCTGACAGACAACGACGGAAAGTGCAAACGAAATCTTGAGGCAAGGCTCCTCCAAAACACCCCAGACAGACAATGCGGATATGTCCGATGTATGCAAACAGCTTCCAACTGTTTTAAAGGTCACTATCCGTAAAATGAAGAGTATCGTTGCTCAGGCGCCGACCCACAGCTTTTCTTGGAATCCCTCCCTCAGTTCCCAGGTTCCCCGGTTCTCCAGTCGCCACAGCCTAACCCTCAGTATGTGCAATTTCCGTCTCCTCCCCTAATTGGCCGTAATCCATCCAAGGTCTGTATAGACACCTCTTAAGCTCTAGTTATTGTTTCAAAATCGATTCGTCTGTCTCTGCTGCGCTGTACCACTGTTTACTTGGTCTGCAAAACATCCATCCTCACAACAATTTCAGTTCTCTTTCTCAACCACCGTAAACTTAGGCATCTTCGCTCTATCCTGCTCGGTAGGTTCAAAGCCAAGCTTCTTTTCTGCCGTATCAGACAAATAGAGACCGATTGTGCCCCAAGCAATGAAGCTTGCGCCTATCATTGCGCGGGTGCGCGGAGGGAGTGCTCGAAAGGATCTGTTTGTTGAAGAAAGATTAGTTGAGAACAAAAACGAGAAGCGGGTATGAGATTCGAATAAGAGACAAGGGAGAGGACATACGATAATAACGACATCTATGGGGGGGAACGGGACTATTTACAGAAACGATCGTTTAGGAATTGTGGTCATTGATATTGAAAATCGATATTCTCGGGTTATTCCGAGACACTTCGAAGACTAAAGTTGAATCCGACATCCCGATGATGGTAGGGGGTATTCAAGGTTATGCCAGACTAAAAGGCGTACTTGCATCGGTGCCCCCGCGCAAATCCAGTTTGTGGTTACCTAGGTACTGATGAAAGCCATATCTTTGATTGTCTTAGTATTATATCATGATCTGCTACTATAAAAGTTTTGTTGCGAGTCTTGGAAGATAAGTTTCAGCTGATGTGAATCAAAGTATTCGATTAAGTATTGATCAATCCCTGAGAAGCCTTCATCGAAAGTTCTTATCACCTCCAGTTGTCACAAATGGCAGATATCAAAGCCCCTCCAGCTCTCCCCTCAGATTTCTTGTCACTACCCGTCGAGCTCACAAGATTTGTGATCCTGTATATGGACTTACCCGCCATCAAGTCTACCCGTTTGACTTGCAAGTTTCTCTCCTTTCTCAGTACACCATACCTCATCCTTCCCAAATTCCATGGTTTCGCCCATCGTCCCGATTTCAATCGTCTTCTCCAACTATGCCGACATCCAACCTTCTCATCTTGTATTCAATCTATCGAACTCAATCTTGGCGACATCGATGAGTTTCATGCAAGGCATAATGCATATCTCTTTAACCCAGAACCTAATATATTCAATCCAGAAACTCGTGCTGAACTAGCTGAAGAAGCTTGGTTTCGATATGCTAGCCTGAAGTTCTTGAGAGAGGAACACAGCTCCCGAATATGTGATCCAGATATATTATCTGAAGTCTTCCGTTCACTGCCTAATTTATCAGCCCTGTCTGTTTCTATGGCTAATTTCCCCTTACCCGATGAACCGGCACTCTCTCTACTAGCATCAGTTTGGAGAGTTCCTTCGACGAGATTGCTCCACAGAGAATTGACCAAGGAGCGTTTTACCACTATTCTAATTTCACTACTCTGCAGTGTTAAGGCTCTGAAGCTCAGAAAATTGTCTCATGATTGCTTACCATTTGAGTTTTTCGCGCAGAACAAGGTTCTATTCGAGTCTATAACACCTATTTTTTACAATCTTACAGATTTACGCTTGGCTCTGGATTATAGCGATATACCTAATAACTTAAGTTTCCAAGAAGTGTTTGCGAACATCGCTACATGTTTAAACGCTGCTACGAATTTGGAGAGTTTCAATCTGTGCTTCCAGTCGAAGCGTAAGATTGATATTACACCACTGCTTGAGGATCTTTTGTCAAAATTTAAAGAATCGAATTATGCATTACCTCCCCTTCGAAGCCTACATATAGAAGGCGTGTCAAGTAGATTCCTTGCCATGGAAAGCTTTCTTATATCATTAGCGTCTACTCTCGAAGTGATAGAGTTTGGAGGAGATGGATGCCATGAGCCCAATCGATTTTCTAATGGAGGGGTACACTTACTGGATGGGAAGTTTCGAAAGTTGTTTGAGAATGTGGAGAGAGCTATTGGAGACTCATTGACGAGATTTGTTGTTAGGGGTGATTTAGTGGAGATCGAGGGTGGGAGTTCTTGGTTCCTCAATAGGGAAGTTGGATGGCACGGGGCTATGGATTGAGATAGGATTGAAGAGTCAATGAGAAAGTGTGAGATCAGCAACTGCTTTAGTACTCACGCGCTTCGCCGTTACGTACTCAACAGCCACCCCGGAAAACACCAGCCAGAGGGAATTACATAGTGTTTCACGCACTACCAATACTAAACCTGGCTCTCAGGCTATAATTCCCTGTGGTTTTGTTCATTTTCTACTACTTCCACTTCCAATACAGATGGGCATCTGAAGACTTTATTACGGCCAGCCAAATCAACCATGCTTATGATTCATATCTGACTTCTATCATCAAATATGTTATGGATATTATGTTCAATGTGCATAGATTGCACGCCTCGTTATGGCGGCTGATACGCAGGAAGGTAACACGTGAGTTAGGGGGAGAAGCGGGTGTCCAAGGAGGAAGTTTTCCATTGGATATATCACTGTTCTACGTTGCAATTGTGGACACAAGTTACATTATCAAGTCGTCGCTACAACCTTGGCTCGGAGTGTTGTCGTGCCAATGTGAGCATGGGAATGAGCAATTATAAGATATGTCGTTGTCGGTTTTGGCGTCACCTCTCCTTCAATGAACCGGTGATAGTTTGATCGAGGGTTCGAGATCAATTCAATAATTGAGGGCAACCAAAATGGAAACTGCTAGCTCGGGCACTATATCATACAGAAATATTTTTTTGAAGCTGATATTCTGGACTTGTTGATCTGTGTTCTGGAGGATGGGATTGTTATGTTACGTTCTTAGTCTGATTTGGCAAAGTCTAGAAGTTCTGTTCAGGAGATCGTATATAAAAGTGGGGGCTGGAAACCAAGGCTATATCTATATCTATAGATATGCTTCAATATACATACAGGCTTTAAGATGTATGCGCACGACTTTAATTCTAATTCGTATGGCCCCCACATCAGGAATGTCTGAATTCAAATCATACAAGTACATTCCATACGCAGAGAATGAGGGAGACAATGGTAGTGTAAGGAAAGCTTCAATTCCATCAATCGCTAAACGTCCAATTGGTACGAATTTACTCTAATCTTTCTGTGGCTAAGCCAAACGATTCAGAAGATAAAATGACAGATATCGAATACATCCTGGCAGAAACAGGGTCGTGGAGGGGGCCAGTGAGTTTCTATTACCTATGATACGGTCGACATATCTTTATTTTCTAATCTCCGTCTTGGATTGTTATATGGAATCGACGTAGAATTTCTGGTTGGTTATATTAACATGAGAGCTTTAGGCTTTATTCTGTTGATTGCGAGATGCTTTGCTCTTTGGGATCATGGCTGTTTAGCTATACAGACACGAAACTTCGATTCCCTTGTATGTAGCGATTGAGATGCAGGAGTAAGTATTTCAGCATATCGACTCTCTTCCCTCGATTTCCCGAGTCTATCGGTTTGCTTTGATCTTCAAGGTTTTCGTTCCTACATGTAACCTCCCATCCACCATCTATTTCCCTCCCTCCGCACTTTCACATTCCCACAAGATATTCTCACCTAAAATCGTAATGAAATAGATACCCCATCCATCCCATTCCATCCCCACACTCCCCCACCCCAAAATCCCCCCAGAAATAACAATCCAAACTCAAAACTCAATCACGCAACATCTAACCGAATGACGTGACAGACGATACTCCACCATTCCCCATCCTATCTATCTGCAATTTAAACCTCGCAGCACATCTCCCCCATCCCAATAATCCACATCTACATTCATAACCCCCTAACCCACCCCTACCCATCCCTCTAAATCCCCAAAAGCTTATTTAAACTTCATCTCACTCTCAACCTCAACCTCAATCTCTCAACTCCTCATCCACCTCCCATGCATACATGCCATCCACATCAAGCCATCCCAAACCCATCCCAAACCCATCCCAAACCACAGCATCGGAGTCGGAATTATCCATCGACTCTCCAGACACGGGGAATACTGAACACTGAAAATTGGCTCTAAGCTCTATCTACCTAGTACCTACCTTGATCCGAGGTGTCAGGTACCTAGTAGGTGTAATGTATGACATACATACATACAATACATACATCGTACGTGCATATTTATATATCTACATCTCAGAGACCAACAGTACATAGGTAGGTATGTTATATTATCTCAACATCATAAATATGAATCCTAACAACTTCCTCCTTCAAAATACAATAGTAAAGACACACCCTCCCCCAAAAACAATTTACTCATAACAATCAAACATCTTATTTAACATCTTAAATTTTATTTTCATATTCTAATCATTAAGCATCTTTTATTTTCATTTCCTATCCAATCCAATCCAATACAATCGACCATCTCACCAGTTCAAAAACGCCAGCCCAGTGCCGCTAAACGCTATCATATACCAACACCAATACGCCTTCGATTTCTAGAAATTTCCCAACCCTCAAATCCGACGCCATCCATGCATAGTTTTTTCGTTGATCTTTTCGTACACTCATTTTCCTTACCATTTTTCTTCTCCATTACCATTACCCCCTACTCATCCCGTACCGACTCCGAATCCGAATTATTCTCCGATGAGAAAGTCGAATCAACCTCAATTACCGTAATTGCAGAAACCATCTTGCTTTTACTATCTCTTCTCCTTACACCAATCCATTCATCTCTCTCTTCCTCAACCCCCTCATCCCTTCTCGTTCTCTTGACCATAAAACACTGAGCCGCTCCCACCACTGCCACAAGCGCACTTCCAAGCCAAGCGAGCGCTGTGAAATTTGTCTTGCTACCGAGTGCATACAGGTATCCCGCAACAGGTGGAGCTACAGTCCTACAAGCTGCACCTGCCGATGCTGCAAGGCCATTGACTTTTCCGAGAACGTTTGGAGAGGGCGTAGCTTCTTTGATGAGGATGAGAAGAACGGGGTATACTAGTATTGAAAGGAGATTGCGGACGAATAGAGTCGTGTAAAGACCAGCATAGAGATATGAAGCGGGAAGGTAGACGAGGATAGGTACCATAAGATACGCAATTGGATGTAGTACGCTGACTACAATGAAGAGCTTATAAGTGCCAAGAAATTCTGCAGCCCATGGAAATATGACCGCTTGAACAAATAATGCAATAATGCCATTTATGGACATGATTACACCAACTTGTTGGACAGATAAACCAAGACCTCCAGGCATCATAAATTCGCCAGTCATGATGGACATGCTTTCCCTTGGACCCTTTGTATCTTCGAGAAAAATGGGAAGTAAATGATCATATGTCATGGAATGATATGTGAATATTCCCAATGCGATAATCAAAGCCACCACATTTTTGTTGAAAATCTGGGGAGAGATAGATTTAGTGGGCGTATTTCGCCACTCACTATCATCACTGCCCTCGAAAGTCCCATAGGTTTCGGCGCGCAAGTCGACTGCGGGTGTTTTAATGGCATCAGCAGTGGCCATCAATGGGGTTTCTTCGGAATGGTATGTATCATCTGGTAGAGAAACCCGGGGTTGCATATCCGGATGTGTCTCTTGGAGGAGGAAGTACCCCGCTAGAATACTGACGAATAGTAGACCAGCACACATCAAATTTGGAAGCAAATATGGGAATGTGTTGAAAATACCATCCGGTGAGAAAATGTTTGGAAAGGTCGATGTAGGATCTGCGAATGTGCCACCGATCGCAGGACCGATAATAGTACCTATACTCCAAACAAATGGCATGACTGAGTATGCTCGAGCTGTCAAGAAGAAATTAGTTCAGGTTCTCTGTGTAATCGCCGTAATGTAATCAAACTTACGCTCGTGTTCTTTCTTGGTGACCATTTCACCAACCATGGTCTGAATGACGCCTATATTTCCATTCAAGAAGCCTCCAAGAGCTCTGCCGAGGAGCGCAACCCAAATGTTCGACGCAAATCCAACCATAATCATACTCAACATCGTTCCGCAACATCCTGCCAGCAATACTGGCTTTCGTCCGATTCTATCAGATAATCCTCCCCAGTACATGCCCGTCAAAGATTCTGCCAGCGCAAAGGCTGAGATGAGAAGGCCCGCATAGAAGGAAGCATCATCTTCGTTGCCGACTTTGAATTTCTTTACGAGTGCCCACGCGTAGGGGAAGATAGAGGTGAGGGCAATAGGTTCCGCGAGACGGACAATTGCTAAAACGATGTTAATAACGTATTTCGAATTGATCGTGTGCGTGGCGCAGTCATGGAATGTGGAAACAAAACTTACCAAGAAGAAAAAGTTGAGTGGTAGGAAATTTATCGGGATCCTGTCGAGAATTCCGAATTCCTCGGGGCATTGCTCGTGAGCCAGATATGACTTTTCTGGCTCTCGATGACGATAAAAGATTAGATCTTTATTAGTATAGAGAGAGAGAGAGAGAGAGAGAGAGAGATGTTCAATCTGAGAGTTGTAGAAACTTTCCTATCGACGTCCTGAAAGACGAATAGGAAAGAGAAAGAATATTGGAGGGGATATAGGAAGTACGACGCAATAGGTGAAGATGCTATCAGGATTTTAGGTAATGATAATATTGATTGAGTTTGCGGAAACGGAAGAGTAGATTTCTCAGAGACAGAATTAAATGTTTGAGAGCCAAGTGAAAATGGAGGGGGAAGGAAGTGTTCACTCTATATGTCGGACTACCCTTCTGTTTGCGCTCAAGCTTCCGCACTGAGCGTTTTAAGAACCACATGCAGATAAACAAATGTTCCCTACCTACTTGACCTGGTACCTTACCGCTGTGCATGCAGAGATAATAGATCTCGTTTATCCTTACCTTTTGAACTTCTGAGAGCGTATATATTGTATTGTTTTCCTTGGTTTTTGTGGTGGGGAGGGGGGCAGAAAAAGATTGTTCTTGTTGTCGTTGTTGCTACCAAACCTTTTCGGAGATTTATCCCGCGGCTCTGCAATATCCAATTTGGATTGGTGTTCCTATAGATCGATAAATACAATGAAAGATCTACTGGAGTAACAAATAGCTCGAAAGGTCGGCCGATACTTGCTGCCGCTAATGCATATGCATGATAAGGTGTAGCCGACTTGCTGGTGGAGATTGCTAGTGGATATCGCTAGTGTGGAGACACATGTAATATATTAGCTGAATTATATGGAGTAGTCGTATTATTTCATGCAGACAAGGATTTGAAGCATTTTAGACTCTCATCTAGACTTATTCGTCTCAATCATTGGATGGATCGAGGTGAACATTGGAACGCTAGAAGGAAGTATTGAAGAGGCTAATAAGTCAACCTGCACAGTAGTAGAGTAGACAAAGTAGACTATCAAAATGTCACGTACTCCGTTCGGCACTTTCAATTCTACCTACCCAGGTACAGCAAAGAAACAATGGAGTACAGCTTTGACCATGCTCTTGTGATGTGAAAGATATAATTCAATTGATGAGGGAATTAGTTCAAATAGACTACCTACCTATTTGCCTAGGTAGTGTTGTCAATCTTCCACCTGTGTCCTGCTTTGCCCGAACATAGCAGCACTGGAGAATGTGCTTCACGTAGTTCATGTATCAGGTATCATGTATGTAACCTAACGAAAGATATTCGGAACATGGGGAAGATTGAAAGTAATAAGCCGGCATCCAAGACCTAATCTCAACACCTACTACTCGCATGTACACTAAAGTTGTATACGAAAGCACAAGTGAACCATCGAATGAGAATGGTGCGATTAGCTATTTATTGAGACTTTAGGTACGGGATAATCTCATCTTCTCATCTTCTTATCTTCTTTACTACCCTACCATACTTCTAATATCAACATCTACCATCTAACATCTACTCGTATATTTCCAACATCTACCATCTAACATCTGCTCGTATATTTACTTCAAGAATGAATTCAAACTTCCTGACAAGTCAATCAATCAAACACAAGTCGTCATAACTACCTCACTCCAAAGCATGTTTTCATACGAGGCTTGAGAGTTGAGCTTGTTTTGAGTGAAGGTATGAAAATACTTTTTTTTTCTCCTTGTCCCACCGTTTCTTCCATGTCAAGGCGGGGAATGAGTTTACCGAGAACGGTGCACCCCTGTATAAAACTTATGGGGCGTATCTAAGACATCCGAAAACCGCTTTTGCAGGGACCAAAGTGTGCATTGATACGACGCACAGATCAACTGATGATACCTTCTCTTGATCTATTATTCAGACACACCTCAGACATGGCTAAAATCCTTTCTTCATGACTTACTTTTGCCTCTTTGGTCTTAGCATGGAATCTTCTAGATATTCCGACCCGAAACTCTACTCCTCTCATCCAATATCGGTTTTCTCACCGCGACTCCACTCAGCAACTTCTGAATTTCCGAGTCAAAATTCTCTTAAGTCATAAAATACTTCTATTGCGATTTCTTTGACTAACATTTTCTGATGATACTACGGCAATTCTTGCCCTGTGAAGTTGTACGAATTTCTACAATTGTTCAGTTCAGCTAGTGGCCAAAGCAATCCATGGTCAATAAAGTAGCTCTTGGTGAGCCGTGAGTTGTGATACCGGTGACAGGTGACACCGCACGAATGCATTCCTCACGATATTCCCATGGATGCTCTCATGCAAATGAAGAGATGAATGCTTCCGTACTGCATTTCCGTCCAAATTCTTCCAACAATGCTAATGCTTATCTACCAATCGACCAAATTGATTCGACGTTGACACACACGGAGTATATTCCACCTATGGGAATATCTTCCGATGATGTAGCCACTATATAACGAGAGAATCATGATACAGTATCTGGACAAGATTTTGATCTACTACTGACACCGGCGATGCTCGAGCTTACTATAGTTTTAATGCTTGGTAACCTCCTTTTTACTTACTTCGGAATATATAAACACTGGCATGCCGAAACACTTCTCTTGGAAAGTATTGATCGATAATCATGAAGAACTTGGGGAGGTGAACCGAGAGAATGACAGCTCATACTCGCATATTCTTAATACTTTGGATAGTCCATATGCTGTGCCCCAAGTAAGTGCTAACTTTATTTCTATCATATTTTCTTCCACATCTCTATGAGTTCTTGCGATCCTGTCACCTTTTCTCTATCTCCTCGCGCATTCCTCAATCAGCAATATCTGTTACCAGCTTATGTCAACGTTACTACTATTGTTGCACGTCGACCTTGGGTCTCGGAATGTCACTGGGTTTGGTCTCGTTCCATTGTCGGATATCCCGATATAGTGATGATGCCACTACATATCATTTGAACCGTTGGTTTTTTTGACATCACGAGAGTTTGGATCTTGACTGGGGTTTAAATCGAGATAATCCAAATGCAAGTATGGCTGCATAACATTCCACAGCTTGATGTATGGCCAAGGATCTCCTGCATCGTGGTTGGAAAGCTGGAGATACTCTGAAACCTCAAGCTCGAACGCCGTTTATTCCATCTCCAGAACTCGTTACCAAATTTTCAATTAATTGAAGATGTATGGACAGATTTAATGTTTTGCTTGCAATTCTAAAATCTTGATACCATTTGATGTTACTTAGACTGAGGTTTTATGCATTTATTCTCACCCTCGTATCTAACGTGTTCAAAGCGATATACAACTATAAAGATGGTAGTTCATCTTCTCGTATTTCTTTACCTAAGATGGCAATGCAAAAGTTTCATTGAATCACAAACTCACCCCACCCACAATATTGCATTTTTTCTCCGCGCTCTTAGATTTGTTTGCCGCCGGAAATGTCGAATTCGACACTTTTGCAAAATCTATTCTCCTCATCACGAGTCTACAGTTCCACTGCCTCATACCTCGCAGTGGGATTATGTGGGGTTATATGCACTGAAGATCTCCGTATTTTCTTAAATTTTTGCGGTGATACAGCTTAGGCGTGTTGCTGGTAATAATCGGCAAGGTCATTTGATGTGCCACGAAATAGAAAAAGGCAGATCTGCATTATGGGAGGCGAATTCACATTAATATAATCTGAAGAGGAAAAAATCGTGTTGGGAAATCATTGGGGACAGATTATTGATGAAAATTTGAATGTGATCGTATTGGATGAATGTGACCGACGTTCATCTAAAGATATCTATGACCAGACCAAATCTTCTCGCAGTGTTGCACTCTCAAAGCTATCATGCTCCCTATTTGTAATCATTAGTTACGGGATTGCTTGCAGTGGCGAAAGGGTGGGTTGGAAGGAATAGGAGATTTACCTGATACTTAGTGGACCTGAAAGTCTTGAAAGGGGTGAAACTTTTCTGCCCGTGTGGTTGATCTACAATTTCATCGGCTAATTCAATACTTCAACGGTTGAAGCAACAGTCCTCGAAGTTTTGGCCTCTTAGCGATCCTCAAACACCCCATCCTATCCTTCCTTCATCTTGATCTTCTGATCTTTCTGATTTTACTTGCTTTCCATCCAACTTGTCAATGAAAGTATCATTCAATACACATACCCGCCGTGAATACGCCTGCTTGTATTTCTTCTAAAACCGCAATAAATGCACAGAAATACCGACTCATCCCCACTATCCTTTCGTTGTATTCATACAAAGCGTGTTGACTATTCGCCTAGAGAGCTAGTAGGAAGTGATCAGCGAGAGAATGCAAGTTAACGCTTTTATATACACACTACTTGTCTTGAGAAATTCTACAAGGGCAATTTTCCCCATCTCTATATAGTTATTTAGCCACTCGTAATCAATTTACCCTGTACTGTCCTTTTCCCCCTTTCCATTCCATTCGGTTATTTTTCGCAAATGAGGTATGTAGCTATATTCATATCCCTTTTGGTCCGAAACCTCTGGGTAAGAAATGAGTGGACATGAGTAGAAGTCATCATTTCAGACCGAAACAAAACGAACCCAAAGAGAAATTTTCAAATCTAGAGAATAGAAGAATAGTATTCGGAATCGACTCTCAAATATCCCACCACCATTTTTGGTATTCTCGTGGTGGTGAGATCAAAATGTAAAATCTTATGTTGAGTTATCAATTATTATTCACATTGTATCTGTAATATTCCCTTTTCTTTTCTTTTGCACCTCTTCACACATTAAATTCAATCTCATTCAATCCCATTTCATCTCATTCTCAATTCCAATCCCAACACTCAGACATCCCAAAAATGAAATTTAGGCGATGTTTCATACATCCAAAAATCCATACATGTCCAAAACTACGTCACCGACGTCATTTTATTCATCTATCTACATCATCTATCGTCATCATCATCATCGACGTCATGAAGTTATGCGATATGCAACAAAAAAAATTTCTTTTTTTTTGATGACGTACATGTGATACATATATACACATA